TCCTCATACATTAATATGATCTTGCATCATTGTTACATCTCCTGTATTCCTCAGCCAAGTTGTTTTTAGGAAGGTGGTTCTGCCAGTTAACACTTTATTAATAGTTTATATTTTCATTGTACCAAACAACTGTTTGCATGACACTGTATCTCCCTTCAAAAGAAGAATTTATCACTTCTACAGCTTGAGGAACAAATATTGCACCAAATTTTAAATACAAACTTGCTTATTAATGGAAGTAAAACCTTGCATAATCATAGGAATATTTCTTAGTAAACATGACAAAAATAGTGGGCTTGCTTTACCAGTAATTTGGCTCATAGATTTTGAAGAAACTGCAACTTCCAGATAATCTCTAAAGGCTGGTCAGCATGTTGCAGCATTCCAGCCAAATCATAATCAGGATATGGGTTGTTATTACCAGGGCATCTTACTCTGGGTAGGGCTGAAACCCACATACTACTTGGAATTGGACAGACCCTGATTATGGTTTCCACTTCTTTTAAAGCAGGAATTATAAGCCTGGAGGAACCCACCACCGCCAGTCACAGACAACCTCCTTTAGAAGAAATATGATCCTGGCCAAAGTTCATTTGTGAATACAGTTGTTCAATCAGCTCTGAATCCATCTAATAGTAGCAAAGTCCAGCTTATATTTTGCCACATTCTATAGAATCCCATAAATTTCAGTACAATTTTTGCTATTTCATTTGAGATATTTCAAAGAAATTGTAACTTAGCTCCATAATAGTCCTAACTTTCAAGTAATGCTGTAGGGTTCCTAAATAAAAACATTAGGAACTAAACCAAAGTAAGTAAGCTTCATTCATAACAATATTTAGAGCATGTGGAAAATGTTTGTGCAAATGGAGATGGACTCCTGTTTTAACTGCATCAAGCTCCCTTTTTACAGAGCACCGTTATCTTCAGGAGTGGGTTTTCCAAAAGGAGCTGCATACAATGAGATAGAAACTGGAAATCCCTTGAGTATTCCTTCTAATGACATTTTAGGTGGACTTTAAAGCTATTTCCTTCTCCTTTGGAGGAGAGGGCTAGGCAGCAATAGCCCAGAATAAGTAGAAAAGGGAAACACTGAACATCAGAGCTATGTTCCATTTCTGAACACCAGCTTTTCTGAATTATTTTTGATGTTTCCATAATGTTGGTTAACACAGAAAAATAACTTCATGGACACCTGCCTAGGTGTTTCTGAATCCCAGCCAATATGTATCTTTTGATGTCCTAAGAGAACTGCATTCATAAAAAATACTACTATTGCTTGAAATGGTTAAGCATATCCAACTCAGGGCTTTGTTTCATGTAATTAGATCTGGCCTCTAACAATTTGTAACCTATTAAATCTAGATAAATAGTGGTGGGAATGAATTGATTTCCATGCTTGTGGCTCACTCGGGCAGAAGAGACTATTTTGCTCTATTAAATCCCAACTTCAGCAACAAATTGTTAGCAACTTGTAACTATAGAATCTTTTTTTCCATGTGTGTCTCCTGGATGAGACATGATTCAGATTTCTCAGATAATGACAAATCTTTTTCTTGTATGTGGAGCTTTGATTCCATGTCATAAATTGTAATACATACTCAGGCAAAAAGTTCGACAAACTCTTTAGCCATGACTCTCAATTCCATAGCCAGTTCTTCAGTGACTTCAAGTTATTGCTGTCCACGTACATCCTTTTCCTCCATACCCATTTCAGTTCAATATTTTGTAATAAAATTCTTATTGTCCTTTTGGATAGTTTAGTCTAAATCCTTATTGATGGAATGTAAAAATTATACCTTCCGGTTTATGCCATTGGAATGGAACCATTTTCTGTTTCAAAGCTGTCTTTAATATAGAATCTATGTAGTTCATTTTAGCGCAGATTATAGTTTGGTTAATAGTTGTCAAGGTACCAGTGACTTATTTGTTAATCTCTTGTTATAGCAACTGCCCTAACAATTCAGAGGAAGCTTAGAACATGCCCTGTTATGCTAAGCATTACAATACAGAAAGCACAAGACATCTTTTTTAAAATTAAGTTATAGTTAATAATTTGCTAAATCTATAAAAATAATCTCTGAGACAAACTCATTTCTGTGAATTCCAAGGCTTATCAAATGTAAATGTTCCTCAGTAATAGTTTGTTAATTTTAAAAATCCTTCAGGAGGAAAAATACCCCTAATAACTAAGGCTTGATAATATGCAGTGAATGACTGTCAAAGACTCTACACACACTAAATATATAAACATAATCTCTATGTAAGCATGCCCTGATTACACCCATTTTATTTTAAGAGGGGATTAATTGTGGCTGGTCTGCATTAAGACTAGAATAGAAAGGTTTAATTTCATTCGAAGAGAATAAGAATAATCCCATTTGGGTTATGCTGTTTTTCCTCTCCCACTGCTAAGAATCTTATTGGCTGCAAAACAAAAATACCATAACACTAGTTAAAATGAAAGATGGCAAGAATGACAGATTGGATGGATGGACGGAAGGAAGGAAGGGCTGTCCCTCTTCAACAACAGATTGGGGGCCATCAGGATCTTGGGAGAATCTCATTACAGTGGGCAGGCACTGCTATAGATCGGGCATGCTTCCAGGGTCCTTATAGATGATGACATTCAAATTGACCAGCCAAATATTTGGGAGACAGCAATAATTCAAATAATCAGGCCCTATGCCATATAGGCACTGCAATAACCAGACAAATGGAATTGTTATTAGTGGAAGCCAATTTAGGGGAGGCAAGACGGTGGAATGGGATATAACTCATTGCATACTAAAACAAGAATCTCTTGCATAAACTTCCTAATTGATGGGGATGTAAGCATCAATATGTTGAATTGCAAGATAGTTTCAAAATGGCGATTCCTTGCTTGTATAGTTGCATGTGTATCTTCTGACAAAACTGGGCTGTATTGTGTTATGTTTAGCCATATTTGATAAATGCACTCAAATGAACCAATTCCTTTTTTATAGTTAGCAAGTGACATAGGTAGGAGTAATGCTTCTAACTGGTTTAGTGAATGTGGGGAAATTCCACATCAGGAGTTTCAGATGATGGAAGGGTTAAAGGAAAGTTTGTTTGACTTGTCCCTCCAATAGCAGGCAAAGAGCAACTGAATCTCAGGGAATTCTGGGGACCAAACTGTGGGACCAATTGAGAGGTGAGTTTTCCCTCTCGAGTCAGCTTTGAAAAAGAAGAGCCACCTATTTGGTTTTGTATAGCATTGCTTACGTCCAAATAAGCATGATGGCAGCTAATCCACTATTTTTGCCTGCTCCTTTAAATTATATTGCAGTTATCTTCTTTGCTCTTGAAGTTTTAATGGCAGTGCTGTTAAGGTAGCAGTTATCTATGGGTTTCTTCTCACCCCCAGTGCCATGGATATGGAGAATTCATCCCCACAATAAAAGTTCAAGCTTGTATAAATATCTCTTTTTGTCAAAAATGAATTAATGGGGAAGAAAATGTTTGCATGCCAATTCTAATTTCTGAGGCTGATGTGTGAATTTTAAGATAGAACTATGGGAATTTAGTGATCTAAATTTAATCTTTTTCTACCTGTAGGCCATAGAAGGAACAATAGGTGGCAATGCATATCTGCATAGCAAGGTGAACCAATGGACTACAACTGTTGTGGAGCAGATTTTAAGTCAGTTGACAAAGCTGGGTAAACCATTCAAATATGTTGGTAAGTTAATTATGTATTTTTCAGACATTTTAATTTTTTCAGAAAAATAAAGCTTGAAATTGTAAAGGTGGGGAGATTCTGATAGTAATTAGTCTTAACACTTTGATCATACCTCATGTACTCTATATCCTTTGCAAATCAGATATAATTGTGTTGCATGGACAAATACTTTTTTTCTAACAGTATTTTGTCTCTATAATTTCTAGTGACCTGTGTGATTATGCAAAAAAATGGTGCTGGACTTCACACTGCAAACTCTTGCTTCTGGGACAATGCCGCTGATGGTATAAAACTCTTTCAAAATTGGCGTTGCTGAACTTTTTTTTACAGGAAAAAAATGTATAATTCTGGAAGCTCTTTTGGGTAAAATAATTTTATTGCAGTCACCTGATCATGATTCATGGCTGCGATGACTTACTCTTCCTTACTGGGTGTGCTTCCAGTTTAAATAACAATAGAGTTTGTGTATAAGTACTACTCAAGCTTTACCACAGACTTAAATGTCTGGATTACAGTATAGATGCACTAATCTATATCTTGTGTTTATGTGACTAACTGGTTGCTTGTTTTTGCTTTTGTAGGAGCTTGCACTGTAAGATGGGAGAACAAGACTATGTACTGTATTGTCAGTGCCTTTGGACTTGCAATATAATTGCCTTGAAATTCTTCAGATCTTATCATTGCTTTAAGTCCACTAAAACTGAATTCGGTGAATAACTAAGAACTCCCCATTCTTTCTGAGGAAAAACAGGAGAGAAAATTCAGTACTGTTATGTAAGCATGATCACATCCAAACTCTGTCTTAACACTTTAAGGACTTTTTCTCAAGGTGCTAAAACCTGAAATTTGCTGCACTTCTATAGCTTTACTCCACCTGTGTGGGTAAGACTGATTTTCACTCTAGATTTGTTTGTTTATTAAATTATTGAAGCTCTGAATGTGTGTATGTTCATTTCTAAAACTTAAAAAAAATAGAAATGATAATACGATTGCAGTGGTGGCTAACCTTTGCTGGATTTGAAAGTCAGCAGATTGAGGCCAGGATAGTATTTGGGGTCCCCAATAGAAATCCCATCTTTTAAAAAATGCTATTGGTATGTTCGTGTGATCACCAGGAACAGAGTTTGATTTGAAGGTATCTTTGCCCTAACTTTTAATAGTCCGGTATTTAACATACTGAAGTTTTGAAAGAGTATCATTATTCCTTCATCTCAGTAGCTTCCTAGGTATTTTGTTTTGGCTGGCATTCCCTTGTAAAGCATGGGCAAAATCAAAGAAAGGCTAATTGACATTAATGCAGAAGTTCAGTATAAAATTTTATTATGAATAAATTGAATTTCATGATTTTTATTTTGCACTATTTCTAGTATTTGCTAAAAAAAAAAACCCTTTACATTACATTGAATTTTACTTTTATGCTGTGGGAAAATTCTGTTTCATATTCCAAACCTCACCATAATTACAAACAGCAGATTCCCTGAAGCCCGGAGATTACACATTACAATAAACCATGCATATCTCTTCTTCAAGCAAAATTAAATTTACAAATGTACTCATTAACATAGCCATTTTGAAAAAGCATTAGCCACATTTTGATATAAAATTTTCTATATTTGCCTTGTTACACAGCTGTTTAAAAATATTGAAATCTGTTGAATAGTGCTGAAAGGAATTTTCCATATATATATTGGCACAAGTGGAGCATAAGACAACAAACACAACAAAAGAGCCATAAAGCTAATGTGCAATGATTGCACAATCTCATGTATTTTTCCTCCTCAGGTTTTGTATCAAATATGACCCTAAAGCTTAATAGCATGTACTTCTGAATAAACATGCACAAAATTGGAATTAAAATCACCATTAAAAGAATTGGTTTTCTTTCAACATACACCTAACCTAATTCCCAAGCATGTTATACTTAATGGTAACTGTTATTTTGTTCTTGGTGGTACTGAAAAAGCCTCAGCTTTTCAAATATTTCTATGAAAACGTGGTTAACCTCATTAACAAGCTAAACTTGATTGGCTTCATGGCAGTGTAATATGACATTATCTCCCTGTCCTACACAATCTGCTGCTTTCCTAGTTTAATCAGGCTATTCTATCAAATCATTGATTTCCTAAAAGAGCAGCTGCTTTCACTAAAGGAAACACGGCATTGTCAGAGGACATTTTAAAACAAAATATTCAGGCTTGGGAGGGAGTAAAATTCCTGCTGCTAACATCAAAATTATTGGAGTCCACCTAAAAATTGGTTAAGGGATAGTATCTTGTACCCATAATACTGGTCAGCCATTTTATAATGAGAACCACCTTACATACACACACACACACACACACACACACACACACACACACAAAGAACATGAGAGCTGTAAGTGAAAATAGTATTTAAAACCCTTTTCTTTTACTAATAGCTCCCTAGCTTCATACTGGGAAAATATATTGGTATCCAAGTGAATGTTCTTAACTGAAAGAGTGCTCTCTCAGTATTCCCTTAACTAAAAGTATGAAACAGATCCTGTCTCATTACACCATTGTATACTGTACATGCAAAAGTATTCTGTGATTAATAATCTGCCTGAAAAATAGTCTCAATTTCCAATAAGGAGTGAGATACAAAAAGAGCAATAGCACTCATCTTTATTGGATTTTCCCAGTTAGATGTCATTTTGTATGTATTTGGAAGTTTCCTTTTGAGTTTTCCAAAACTGAAAAATACCACATTACATATGAAAAAGGCAATAATACACTTGTTCCTTACAAAAGTGATCACCATTGGACTTGCCTCTTTTCAAACATGAACAAAAGGAGAGGGGAAGAGATGGCTAATTCATCCCATGCAATAGCACTAGCACTTAGATTTATATACCACTTCACAGTGCTTTATAGCCCACTCTAAGCAGTTTACAGAGTCAGTGTATTACCCCCAACAATCTGGGTCCTCATTTTACCAACAGCAAGGCTATTGAGCCGGTAAGATTCGAACTGCCAAACCTCTGGGCAGCTGGCAGCAGAAGTAGCCTGCAGTATTGCATTCTAACCACTGCGCCACCACGGCTCTTAAATACTAAATTATTTAAAGAAACTACCCTGTTTCCCCCAAAATAAGACATCCCCTGATAATAAGCCCAATTGGGCTTTTGAGCGCATGGCAATAAGGCCAAGCGCTTATTTCAGGGTTCAAAAAAATATAAAACAGGGTCTTATGCTGTGTTTCAGGAATACACAGTAATCTAGAGGCAAATTCATCAGAAAACTAACTCATAAGTTTACAGTTTACAAAATTATATAAAATAAATGGTGTATAGGTAGTCCTTGACTTATGACCCCAATTGGGACCAGACATTCTGTCACTAAAGAGGTGGTCATTAAGTGAGTTGTGCTCAATTTTGCCACCTTTGTTTTTGCTGTGGCCGTTAAGGGAATTGCTGGCTGTTAAGTGAACCATGCAGTTGTTAAGTGAATCCAGCTTCCCCAATTGGCTTTGCTTGTTGCAAACTGGCTGGGAAGATTGCAAATTGTGATCACTGCAACAGTTGCAAGTGCACAGACTAGTCGTAACTTTGTAGTGCCATTGTAATTTTGAATAGTCATTAAATGAATGGTATTAAATCAAAAACTACCTGTAACACAATTTTTTAAAAAATATTTTTTATTGTTTTATATCAATACCTTGGACACCTAGAACGCACACTGCTCAACATAGAAAGGAAATGTATGATATAAAACACAATACTAATCATTGTTTAAATGGGAGAGATTTAAGAAAGTGCTTGATTTTCTTGCTGACAATGCCTCCTTAAAGTAATAAATCCAGGATAAATTCTAGTTGTATACTAAAAATATCAAAAGGTCAGACAAACATTTTGTAAATAGGAAAAAGGATCAAAACGTTTTGAAAATAGCATTATGTTTGCTAGACATTTTCAGTTGGTTGAACTGGTGCAGGCAACTTCAGTGATATTCAGCTTACAGCTAACACTACCAGGTCAAAAACGAAAGCCACCTGAAATTCCCAAGGTCAAATGAACTTAGGGAGCATTGAATTGAATACACAATTCTACAGAAACAAATGAATTCAGGATAAAATAACTTGTAAACCATATTAAATAAACCTTGGACACCTTAGTATTGAATCTAATGCCATTTGTCAGCAAGACATCGCTGGAAGTCTACTTTTTCTGTCACCAATTTCAAATGTGCTCAGAGAGATTAAGGAAACTTCCACAGATTTTTCTTTTATCCTTTTGCACAAATTGAATGCAAACCTTAGAAAAGCAACTTGAAATTACATAAAACAATATATACTTTTTTAAAAATCAACAACTTTTCATGAGTCAGCAATACAAAAAATTAGAGGAAGGTATTCAGTCTTATCATTTTATACACTAAGCTTGGCACACTTAAAATATTACCATAAAGAAAAACTAGACTTTTCACATATACCAAAGACATGATTTACAGTAAGTAATACACAGTACAGAACTGAGCTGATCACATAATTATACATATGGAATATTTGACCTGCAATCCGTACTTCATCCTTTTTAAGTATCTGTGTTTGAGTAATTTAGAAAAATTAGTTTATCATTATATTAATAGCTTTGGAATATTTCAGTTTTTATTACATACTTGGGTATGTCTGGGATCCAGTCTCTGCATGCCTATTAAGCATCTTCACTATAATTTCTTGCATGCATTGAAGAACCATCAGATTTGCATGTGATAGAGCGGAGAATACGAACTCCCCTCAGCATAAAGGGAAGTGCTTTCTAATCGAGGCCTTGGAATTAAATAATTAGGCTGCTTCTGAAGCTTGAATTTAGAACAAGACCTAAAGCAAGAAATGACTATCAAAACTCAAGGGTGAACACTGGGAATGCATTTAATTTTACCTGTAATTTAAACAGGGCTTTAATTCTTATATATCATTCAAGTTTTACTTCACAGGTTATAAGAGCTTGTCTTTAAGAAGGTTACTGAAGTGATTGAGAAGGAGGAAAATGTACTATGAAAGCACGGAAAATAGAGATCCATAATGTTAATTCAATGAAATTAATTCACAGAATTAGATTTAAGAGTAAAAGGTATTTTTAGTGTACTGTTAACTGGTAACCTCATTCCAGTTATCACACTGAAATGCAGTAGTTTATTTTTCTAGCAAGGAGTAGAAAGTTGCAGAAGAGGTTATTTTATTTATGTTTGAAGATAAGATTTTAAAAAGCCTGAGAAATACCGTTCAAGATAGCTGCAATTAAAATCAAGAAATCACATCATGATACGCAGACACTTGCTGTTTGCTGCAGAGCTCTTCGTTCCTATTCTATGTACAATAGGAACAATTAATTCCACATTATAGCCCACGCATAAAGCAGCCATGAAGCAAAAGCCAGTCTGAGTGTCACATGACCATATTTTACTCATATAATTCTTCCAGAATTTTGTTATCTGAATGCTTCTTGTGCAAATCTGAAAGTTCTAACTGCCAATGAAGTGTTCATCCAATAAAAATGAATCAACCACCATTTTGGATCCTACCAGATTATAACATGAGTGAGTCCTTATTTCAGTAGCCATCATATTTAATATTTACTGTGTATTTCTAAACTATGGTACTTAATAATGTACTTAATAATGTTCAATTTATTAAAATATTCAGAATGCTTTTCTGATGGAAGAGTATGTGATATATGTTCCCTTAAAAAAAACCTAGCATTAGCAGAAGGCTTTGCTTTTAATTCAAAATTGCCATGCATTTAAATGTTAGCATTATTTTAAGATAAATCAGCTTACAAATAATTCCTTCTCAATTTGTCCTGCCTTCTAAACCAACACAGCTACACTGGTATCTCAGAAAGAATGAGCTGCTGTGGTAATAAATTGTCCACAGTAAAAAACAACAGGAAGAAATTTCAGTTTTATGAATTCAAGACCCCAGTTATGTATTGAATTATTGGGAGATCTGGAGTATGTCATTACTGCATGCCTGTGGTAATACTCTGCTCTTTTCTTCAGAGCCAAGAAGACCAGCCCAATTTCCACCTAACTTTGGAATCTAGAGAAGTTGGGAGATGGTGTATTGTCCTGATGCTACAATATGCAACTTCAAGATAAATTACTTTGGCATTTTTAAAATGCAGAGTATTGCTGCCATTTAAATAGTAATGAAGCGCAGTCATAAATAGTAATGAAGCATAGTAATCAAAACAGTAAACTACAGCCTAATCAAGGAAGAAAAAAACACTCCCACCAACACTGACAGGGCAAGCCACCATATATAAACAGAACAAATCCTACTCCCTTTTAGCACTAAACATGTTATCTAATTGGGTAATGAAATGTTTACAAAGAAACAACCAAACTCAGAGAGCACCAAAGACTCCACAGTTCAACCCTGAGCTGCAAATATTCTCTTATATTAGTAATGAAGCAATTAGGAAATCCACTATTCAGTTGTTAATCCATAATAAAATAAGACCTCCAAACTGTATTGATTTAATAATCTAATTCCAAAGCTTTCTTTTCCGTGAATGCATCCTGTTGCTACTGAGTTTTACGAGGGGGGGTTCTTTAAATGTTACTAAACATTCATTTCTCATTCCCATCCATTTTAGTTTTGTAAACAGAAAATGACTGGAATAAAGGACATACTTCCACCAAAAGCAAGGTTCACTTGACTATAGGAAAGATAACATTACTCTTGTTCCATATTCTTGGCTGCTTCTGTGCAAATTTAATCACTGTCCGATTCTTCTTTGAACTTGGCTCTGATAGCCTGACCGTTCTGAAGTGGCATTTCTTCGTAGTCACTCCTGTCCAAACATATTTAAGAAATGATACTTTACACATAAGCAACAGAAATATTATAATTCCATACAATTTAAATTCTGGAATATATTAGCTTTATTATTTTCAATCTGAGCTCTTTCCAGGTAAGTATGCAAACTACTGTATATTCCTTTATTTGTTTTCAGCCTGTTTGGAACCCCCCCTTTTTTTGGGGGGGTGCTTTTAAAAGTTATTGTTTTAGAAGCAGGGTATAATCAGTGTAATTTAATTTTAATTGTATTTGTTTAAAGCAACATTTATTTCAAATTTTGCAGCAGTCAAAATTCATTAAAACATAGAGATTCCCGGAGAGTAATAAAAATCCTGAAAAAAATGAGCCCCAGACAATTCAAACAGGGCTGATACGTTCCACAGCTACTTATGCTGCACTTGCCTGAAAATGAATAGCTTGTAAAACTAATTTCACAGACATCAAACTCAGAACAAGGAAAAAAAATCAGGCCAATCATCATCATCCAAAAAGAATCAAGGTTAAGATTGGGAAAAGACTAACTAGGATCAGTCATAACATTCTGAAAAGGTCCACACTTTGGGAAATGCTAATAACTTTCTTTCAAGCCAATCTAACAGACTATGTTCACTATTTTTTATTTTACAATATTTACAAGCTACATTTACAGATCTAAACAAGAAAATCGCTTTTCTCCCTTACACAGATCTTTCTAATAATTCAACTGACTTAGTAGCTGCCTGGTGAACTTCTTAGATTTGCCATCTTTTTATAAAAGTTTTATTCTTTTTTGGGGAGAAACTTACACTCACAACAGTAGTTTCACAATTGATGCTTCAATGACTACCTTTGCCACATATTCATTCCAGAAGTACTTCCTTATCATTTATTTTTATTACAAAAACAACTTCTGGGACAAGTTCTTTTTAAAGTAGAAAATGGAGAGGTCTGGCAAAAAATATATATGAAGATATGTTTTATAGAACACTACAGAAACAAAAGGATTGGTGACATTATTGCAAGTCTTACTTACCCATAGATAACATCGTCATCTGAATCGTTCAACATGGAAAAGGCAGGGTTGTCTTTCAACTGAGATTCTGAAAGATGTTTTGAAGAATATGGTCAATAAATACATCTCTCTTCCCCAAAGATCAGTCATGTAATTAAAAGACTTTTAATTCAGGTCTTTTCTTGTCACTCTTCGGTGCCACTTTAATGAACATTAAATCCTCCTCTCTTTGCTTCAGTGTTTTATTTATTGTTATAGATCAGAATTGGGCAACCATTAGGTGTTAAGGGCACTTTGCCTTTGTTGATTGCTGTAGAGAGAGGAGGGACGCACTACACATGTGGTTGTGACTGAGATTTTAGGGGTAGTTTCAGATTTTGCTCTGTTACCCAAGAATAATGGAATACCCAAGAATTTTAAAGGCTCATTCTTCCCTCACATTCCCCATTTCAAAATGCCTGGAAACTATGCCAAGCTCAGATTATCTAACAAATTTAGTTCAGAACGTTATAATAAAAAATACTTGATATATCATCTGAATGCCCACAAAGAATATTATTTTACTACATAGTACACCATTTGGTACTAAACTTCATAGTTTATTCATAGATCAGTTAAACAAAACTAAAACAGAATTTTGCCAAAAGAAACAACAGAAATTAACTTACCATACAGGGCATTTTTTGATGGTGAATACACAAAGGCTAATGTGTATAGGTAGAAATTTAATAGTCCATAGAAGGATAAGAATTCTGCAGGTGATAACTGTCAAGGATATCATTACATATGAAACAATTCAACATGTCATCAAGATCTAAAGAGAACCATTCAAAAAGCCGAATGAGCCCCACTTTTTAATTCTCACCCAACAGTGATTTATACATTAAAACACCAAATAAAAAGCCAGCCTCATTAAATCATTTGCACACATCTGTTTCCTATGATCCTTTACAGCAGGGGTCCCCAACCCTTGGTCTGTGGATTGGCATAGGTCCACAGCATGCCAGAAACTGGTCCGCACAAACAAGTGAAGTCCCATCTATGGGATGCAGGCAGTACACGAAATCACGCCCCCTCCAGTCTGCGGGAAAACCTCTCTCCACAGAATCTATCCCTGGTACCCAAAAGGTTGGGGGACCGCTGCTTTACAGAAGTTTGCCAACATTCTACCAGCATTTAAATCTACATTTGTTTGGGATGCCTTAGTCTTTTGAATTATGACTGCCATACCATTTGATCGAAACTTTGAGCAGGATGTCACAGTGAAAGGATATAATTATGATAATGGGTTGAAAGCTCAGCCACAAAATTGTCCTGAAGAACCTGTGCTCCAAAACGCAAATAAAATATAGCGATGCTGCAAGAAGAAAGGAAAATAAATCAAAGTTCATTCTACATTTTAAAATCCTTTTTAATTCCAAGAGCAATTAAATAAAAATCAGTATTTAAAATTAACATTAGGAAACTATTTCCCAAATAAATCACAGAAAGCTGCAAATGGGCCAATTATAAACATATGTCTCCAAGATTAATACAAGCGCCCAAGTAAAGTGGGAATAAGTTATATAAGACATACACATAGTTGAGGGGAACTATGGAGAGGAAAAAGGTTGTGTTTAATCTTGTGGCATTTCTTACAAAACACCTCCTAAAATATGTTAATGGTTGACAGCAGTGGTGTAAAGTTTACACAGCAAGAATGTCAATTGTTTTAATTCTGTTCATTGAGTTTCCTCATTTTTATTTATTTATTTATTTATTTATTTATTTATTTATTTATTTATTTATTAATTATTTAAATTTCTATACCGTCCTTCTCCAAAATAGGACTCAGGGCGGTGAACAGCCAGAGTAAAAAACAATACATACAAAATTTAAAAGCAATTTAAAATAATTAAATATTATTGGCCGTAAATTAAAACAACCCAATTTAAGATCAATTTAAAATTAACTCAAGCCAGCCCAGCTAGTTGAAATAAATGGGTTTGCAGGGCCCGACGAAAAATCCGGAGGTCTGTTATTGTACGTATCTCTGGGGGGAGGTTGTTCCAGAGGGTGGGCGCCGCCACAGAGAAGGCTCTCCCCCTGGGAGTCGTCAGCTGACATTGTCTGGCGGACGGCACCCTGAGGAGGCCCACTCTGTGCGAGTGTACTGGCCGGTAGGAGGCTATTGGTGGCAGAAGGCGGTCTCGTATTTTACCATCAGCACCACCACTTAAAAAGAAAATATTACCAAAGCGCTCTATCTAATGCAATGGTACTTTGGTACTCATTGTTAATTGATTCCAGGAGACGCGATGAGTACCAAAAATGATGAGTACCAAATTTTTCCCATACGGAATAATGTAGTGAGTCACAAGGCAGCCGATAGCTTGTGTGTTGAGTACCAAGCAAATGATAAATACCAGGACAAAATGTTTGCTTCAAAGTGCATTGAGTACCAAATTCAATGAGTTTCAAAGCAGTTGAGTACCAAGGTACCACTGTATCTGCTTACAAGGGAGGTTGATCCAATGATCCAGTGCATTTAATATCTTGCACAATATCTTTCATATTTCACATAGAATACTAAAAAGGTAAAGGTTCCCCTCGCACATATGTACTAGTCGTTCCCGACTTTAGGGGGCGGTGCTCATCTCCGTTTCAAAGCTGAAGAGCCAGCGCTGTCCGAAGACATCTCTGTGGTCATGTGGCTGGCATGACTAAATGAAAAAGGTGCAAGAAACGCTGTTACCTTCCCACCAAAGTGGTTCCTATTTTTCTACTTGCATTTTTTACGTGCTTTCGAACTGCTACGTTGGCAGAAGCTGGGACAAGTGATGGGCATTCACCCCATTATGCGGCACTAGGGATTCGAACTGCTGAACTGCCGACCTTTCGATTGATAAGCTCAGTGTCTTAGCCACTGAGCCACTGAGTCCCTTATAATAGAATATTATAATATTATAATAGAATATTAGGAATGCACAAAAAGTACAGGTCTAGTAAATGTCAGAAATTGCGTTTGTCTTCCAGACTAAGTTGACCCAGCCATTCCAGAGCAGGAAGGGGGGTGTAAGGAGGGGTTGGGTCATTTTACAGACATATATCTTCCAAAAGAGGAAGTAATTTGTGTTTTAAACATAGTCCATCCCTCAAAAGGAGCATTTTGCACACTTTTAGATATAACTGAATAATATCTTCAAGTGAATAATATCTCACCTAATAATAAGTACTATCAATGTCAGCGCAGTCAAGAATTTCAACCTGAGATCTGAGAAAAGAAGAGCAAAGAGTTATTTGAAAAATAACACAAGTATCTTTCTAGAAGAACAACACATCATCGGAAATCACAGGGAAAGAATAGAGCTTACCAACGTAGGGCATATTCCGAAGCTCTGAGCACGCCCGGATTATTAGAAATAAAAGGTACAAAATATATACTGTTGCCACCACAAGGAAGAAGATTTTCATCCCCTGTTACAAAAACAAATTTAAAAACCATTTGAACATTATTTTGATAGCATTTCACTTTCTTTCTCCCACATCCATGCACTATACCAGGAGCTGACAACTGTCTCAGGCATTTACCACTATCCTTATTTTTACGTGATTGAAAATTCAGGAAATCGCCAAAGTTTGCAAGATTACAATAATCCCACCCCAAGGACTTCAGTGAAGTCTTGACCATTTTAAATTTTATTTTCAGTTATTGGGAATGACACTACATCAAGAACCTCCAAATTGTACACAGAGACCATCATCTTTACAAGTCTTAGTAGAAGAGAATATAATACTGTTTGTTTGTTTTTAAACCCAATACCAAGGCCATGTTAGCTAGCACTCATGGAATTGGTAGTCCAACCTATCTGGAAGGTATCAAATTAGGATCTTTGAGTGGGAAGCACAGCATGTTGGCTTTGATATGGAAAAGCCTTAAAATGGAGAAAAGAAGCAAAAAAATAGCAGCTTCTTTTGTAAAGTTGAGCAATTCTCTGGAGTATGTGCAAAATTCTTAAAAATTCATAGATAGCAGAACTTCTTTTCATGGGTGTTACTTATAGATTATTTTTTTAAAAAAACCTAATGACAATAAATAAAGAGAAAAAGAGAAAGATATATTTGAAATATCAGAAACTTACTGGGATAAATAAAAAGGAAAAATCTTAAGAATAAATCTTAAATTTAGGATCCAAATAAATGAAATGTAATTTGCTATCTTCAAAGCAAATTGCACTGCCAGAGAAGTAAACCAATTTTTAAAAAATCTTTTTTGCAGTAGTAGCTTTGAAAACAAGCAAAGTTTAAGCTCTGGTACAATTCTCCCTAATATATACAAGTAATTTTAGATGTGGATTAAGCAAATTTTTTTAGTTAAATAGACAGGTAAAAACAGCTCTATTTTCAAAACCTGAGAGTTCATTCATCATTTCCTATGCAAATCCAAACCTGCTTTATGCTAACATACCTGAAAGTTGCTTGTGTCAATCTCATATTGGTATGTTGGATCACGTAATTCATTGACCCTAAAAAAACAAAACATACTATGATCATGAATCTAAACATTTATCTGTAACAATCTAAATTAAAGGATTGAGTTTGATATAGTTGGCTTTTTATTTTTCCAGAACTTTTAATATATTTTCTAAGATCTCTTTCTGGCCTTTTTAAAATTAACATTTTAGCTCCCTTTTTCATTTTATTAAAATATTAATATCCATTCCAATATTATTGTTTCTATTCTGAATTTTGTAAATTGTTTTGAATTAATGATAATGTGATAATTAGTGTCTAACAAACACAAAGAAGTAAATTACTTACGTCTGCCATATGCCTAGTGTAACAGAAGCCAGCCACAGGAGACCAACAATAAGGAATTTGGGAAAATAAAAGGTCATGCATTTCCTTTCTCCCTAAAAAAAATGGAAAAGAGAAAGAAAGGGCGACAACCATATTAGATTTGCTTTACAAATATCAGTTAAAACTCTGTAAAAATATTTTTTATTTAAAAGGGAGCAAGATTCCTATTGCTTCTACCCTGTTTCCCCCAAAATAAGACATCCCCTGATAATAAGCCCAATCAGGCTTTTGAGCGCATGGCAATAAGGTCAAGTGCTTATTTCAGGATGTAGGGAATTGAAATACATGACATCGGGCAGAATGCAGCAAACTGCTTCCGTTTCTGGTGTCATTGTATCTTCTTCTTGTATGATCTCATTCTTGCTCTGGTCTGTGTTATCTGACCTTCTTCAGAGAAGGTGAACAGGGAGGAGGATTGTCTAATTAGAACCCTGTTGCTGTCCTACCTTTTATCTGCCTGTGTAAAACTGTATAAAAAATAAAGCTCTCTGCGAGAGCGAGAGAAACATCTTTGATCAGAGCAAAAGCCTGGACTTCTGTTTTACAACACAGGGTTCAAAAAAATATAAGACAGGATCTTAATTTCAGGGAAACATGGTATGTTGATGTTAAATGCAAGGAGGAGATATATCTCAAAAATAAAATTCTCTATTAATAGCAGAAGACGATGTCAATCTGAAGTTTAATTATTCTTTAAGCAACAGCTGTCAAATCTGTGTCAGTTTCTTTGCAGAAATACAACTGCCAATGTTTCCAAAATCTTACAGATCTCACTTATGGCTGCAGATGTTTCTTTGAAGAGGAGAGAGATTCTGTGAATTGTTGCATAATTTTTTGGAGAAGTGAAGCAACGAACCATTCCAACGCTTATTTCATTTTAATGTGGTTTTTTTTTTAAAATTCAGGATTGTAAAACATGTTATTTCCTTCAAAAGGACCTCCAAAGTGGTGATCAGTGTAACAAGTCAGCTCCTTGACTATGGAACTTCATATTCTTATAGAAACTTTGTTCAATCAAAATGTTATCATTTATGACACACAGTTTTCAGTGTGAGCCAAATAATTAACCAAATAATTAACTGCAGAATTAACTTGACCAGAAGGGCAGAACCAAAACAACAGAGTTACTCAGCCAAGATTTTCAAGCCCTTCCTTCACTAAAGGAAGGCACATCATTTGTTCCCCTATGAATAATGGAAATTCTTTGGGCTGCTGGCCACATAGAGTGAAATCCAAAATTATGTAAGTGGATTTCTTCTTGAACAAAAGAAGCTTTCATCTTCCTCCTCTTCTTCTTCCATTGCCTATCCCATAATTCAGTGATGGCTAACCTTTTCCGGACCAAGTGCCCAAAGCGCGCACACGCACGAATGCATGTACATGCGCCCAGACCCCCAAAATGCGCCACCCACACGTGTGCATGACCCCCACGCATGCACAAAGCTGTGTGCCCCGTCCCCACACATATGCCCTACCCCTGCTTGCGCCCCCCCTGTAAATGCACCCCCCATGCACCCCCGCACATGCCTGTGCACCCCGTGAGCCCCACCCCCGCCCATGCGCAACAGAAACCCGAAGACCAGCTGGTCAGCGGGAGGCATGCACACATGCACGGCGGAGCTGAGCTGGGGCGACGGCTCACATGCCCACAGAGAGGGGACTGCGTGCCACCTGTGGCACGCGTGCCATAGGTTCACCATCATGGCCATAATTTTTCGTTACACTTATTCTGAAGGCTGCCCCAGTACTCCAAAGGCAGTACACATGATGCTAGGGATAGAATTCTGTTCAGAAGTAATGTTCATTCCATTGGCAAAATACCAGCATTCAACACCTGTTCAGTTGCTAAATGAAGCAAGCAAGTTTCACTGAAAAGATTTAATGAGAGGATGGGATTTGGGATTAGGGGGACCCTTGTTCAGCCATGAAGCTCAGTAGATATTTCTAGACCAACTGCCATCTTTTAGCCTAGATAATTTTGTAGAGTTTGTAGAAGAGATAAAAATTATACTTTTTATGTGTTAACAAAATGGGCATTATCATGGAGCATAAACTACAATGAAATATTATTTACTCCTATCATAACAAATGTGTTAGATGAAAGACCCAACTTTTCCAGCAATCTTCACTTACGTTGTTCAAGAATAAGTATGATCCTTTTTAAAGGCAACCAAGTTGATTGCTTATTACCACAATCTACAGCAGCAAATTTTATTGCTCAATTTCACAACATGTAATTCAGTAATTCCTTTATCTCTTTCCTACCATTTTACAGGAGGAAGAACTATCCACTTTATCCATTCCACTTCCCTAATCCCATCCTTCTTTTTTGTATTAATTGTAAAAAGCTCCAATTACTTTCATTTCTTTAGCCATTGCATCATTTTGAAATGCAGTGTCCAGAACTTTATTCTGTCCTCACCTGTACTCTGATCCCGTGGTAGACGCAAAGCCAGAACAGCAGCAAAGCACACAAGAACAAAGACTGAAAGAGGTCATCTAGCATTCCAGGAAACCAGCTGTTGATTAGGAACGAGAGAGGGAAAAACGGGTCTGTAACAGAATGGGAGAGGAAGAGAGTCAGAAGACATCACTGCTACCACTCACAAGCATATTCTGTCTTTTCTACGGCAGACAAGACCTAGATGTTGTTAAGCTACATTAACTCAAGCCAGCCTTGCCAATACTGGTATATTGGCTGTGCAGGTAATACACAATATAATACAGATGTGCTGGAAAATGTAGATCAGCACATCTGAACCAGGGGTGGGTTCTACTTACCTTTACTACCAGTTCACAACGGGATCACACATGCACGATCACTTTGCTCACGCACGCGCCTTCTGCACGTGCACAGATCGCTTCTGATGTCAGGGTAGAGTGGGTGGAGCCTCCGGCCAGTTTTACTACCGGTTCTATAGAACTGGTCCGAACCGGGGGCAACCCACCACTGATCTGAACCCTGTGCAATCCCAATAGTTTAAGAAAACAACGTAAAGCATGTGCCAGGTATTTTCTATATGGTATTTCTAACATACTTTATTACAGATTTAAAATGTATTCTAAAAGGCAATTTACTGAGAAAACATTTGCTAAACTTTGGGCTGGATTTTTAAAGAAATGGACTTTCTCTCCCATCCCAGCTTATTATGGCAGAATTCAACTGAAGATGGCCAGGAATTGGAATTGAGCAGGAATTTTCAAAAACTGGACAAAGGCACTGCATAACAACTGAGCCCTCCCCTCCCCCCCCATTACATATTACATACATATCCTTCTAGACACATTAATTGCTCTAGTGGGCACCAAGCAGGGAAACAAATAATGGAAAATAAGTCTATCAAGGAGGACCAATTTTGAATTAAGACAGGTTAATACATCAAGCTGGAAATTGGGTGAGTTCTGGTCCTGCCTTAGGTACAAAGACAGCTAAGTGACCTTGGGCCAGTTACTTTTTCTCAGGCCTAGAAAGGAGGCAATGGCAAACCATTTTCAAAAAACCTTGCCAAGAAAACTGCAGGGCCTAGTCCACACAATCATCAGGAGTCAACTGTAACTCAAAGGCAGAGACAGAAATAAAAGTCTAACAAAGGAATGTAAGATAATTAGATTGTCATCTCTGTTTTCAGTGTTACAGTATGTGTAAGGCTACTGCCTGATGGATCATTGCTATTGATTCCTTTTTCAGAAATGATCATGCACCAGAGGCCATGCTTGTGATTGCAGAAGGACTGGAAACTTCCTAATGGCTACCTTGAACTCTATAACTCTTCCTTAAGCAAGACATCAATGTCCATTCAAATTGGTATGTTATGTGTTACTTCTGCTCATTTGCAGAAAAATATTGTGCAGTGCAGAACAATACTGAAAATGAAAAATAACAAGGCAGCCACACGGATAACAACTGCAACTCTGATGAGCCAGTTTTTCTTAATTGTTTTTCTAAGAAGCCATGTTTTCAAAACTTTTTCAAAACTGTAATGGGAAGGCACCCCAGAAAGTGGGGGGGGAGGGGGCATCACCAACATGAGCACAGGTTCTCTGAAAATTATATTTTAGAAGAAATGGGTTTTGCCAAGCCCTCCATCTTTCAACACTTCTTTTTCATTAGAGTAAGCTGCTGGCCTATTTCACTAATCAGCTTTTTTTCTACTGAGTGATAGTAGAGGTTAACTTGATTCCATATATTAAAGCTTTTTGGCTACTTCAAACACTCTTAATTAGTATTAAATAGAGGGAACAACCAAGCGAAACATTTTTTTTCAATAAAATCTGAAAACGCCATCAGATTATGCTAATCAGCCAAGCCTAATGTTTCCAAGTGCTTTTAGTTGGAATTTTAATTTTCATCAATCTCTCACATGTGAAAGTAGGATAACCCCCAAATCCCATCATATCAGGATATAATTTGAATAAATACCATTATAAAGTAATAGCAGGGGGAGGAGGATTGACATCCATTTCTGCTCTATCCCCCAATCTCGCATGGAGAACTTGCGCAGGGAGTGAGCAAAGAGACACTGCAAAGGAAGGAAAAAGAAACATGTAACAATTATGCGGTATCTGTTCAGCATAAGAGAAGGGGTGGAAATATGGAAGCTTCCAAGCTTGGAATACTGCATCCCGTTTTGGTCACCACGATGTAAAAAAGATGTTGAGACTCTAGAGTGCAGAGAAGAGCAACAAAGATGATTAGGAGACTGGAGGCTAAAACAAATAAAGAATGATTGCAGGAATTGAATATGTCTAGTTTAATGAAAAGAAGGACTATGAGTGACATGACATGATAGCAATCTTCCAATATCTCAGAGGTTGCCACAAAGAAGAGGGAGTCAAACTATTCTCCAAAGCACCTGAGAGCAGGACAAGAAGCAATGGATGGAAGCTAATCAAGGAGAGAAGCAACCTAGAACTAAAAAGAAATTTCCTAACAGTTAGAACAATTAATCAGTGGAACAACTTGCCTCCTGAAGTTGTGAATTCTCCAACACTGGAAGTTTTAAAGAAACATTTGGACAACCATTTGTCTGAAATGGTATAAGGTTTCCTGCCTGAGCCGGGGGTTGGACTAGAAGACCTCCAAGGTCCCTTCCAACTCTGTTATTCTATTCTATTCTAACATGTGTGATTTGAGAGTATGTGCAGTATGAGTGATTTATACACCCAAAACTGAATCCCTGATTATAGGCATGACCAACCATAAAATCCTATCTTAACTCAGGCTACATCTTGCTTAAAGATAATGGGAGAGACCAATAATCTAGAGATTCAGCCAATATGGCCAATAAGGAGGGATATTTGTAATATTCAGCGATGTTTGAAAGTCACATACATAACCATACAACAGCCACTAAGTGAAACTCAGCTTAAGTGTATGTGCTGTATCATGTACGAAGAAGACACACACATGATGTTACAGATTTCTTCTATTACTTTCTTTTCTTCACTTATTGCATCTACTGCATATTGTCTCATCTTCAACTCTGATCATTTTTCTTGTCTCCCTCACTTGATAAATAAATATTTTTCCACAAGATTGTTTAACAAAAACCTTCCAGCATCAAACAATTCTAATTCTAATCTTCTGGATCAAGGAGAATGAATAGCAAAGAAAAATAAGAGAATTAAACCAACAGCAGGTGTAATTAAACAGATACTGATTTGTCTAAGACAGGCAAACATACTAAAATATATTATTAAAACTAAACAGAAAGCTGATACTCACTGTGACTATGAAAGTAAGAACTACAAAGACAAATCGGAACCAGATTTCCACTTGGGAGAAGGCTGGGTTATAAGTTTTCCACTGAAAAAAAGATGTCAGAATGTCAACCAAAAGTTTTCTTTTCCCACTGAGGGACCTTCAAATACACATAGATGTGTACGTTTATTATGGCAATTGATCAGAATACAACAATTAATAGTAGATGAAATAACAAAAGTGTTGGTGAATAGTTTATTGATGTGATCAAAGTATACCTAATAACAAGATTTGGCCACATTTATAGAATGTCTGGTCTGGTAACAGCTGTGCATAGAATAAATTGGAGTTGCCTGGTTATTTTATTAACTGGGAAGTGATAAAAATGGGTCCTTGCATCCTTATAAAATGTACAATATTGCATGGTTTATGGCAGGGGTCTCCAAACTTGGCAACTCTAAGAATTGTAGGCTTCAACTCCCCAAACTGTGCCCCTTTCCACCTGAGCTCATGTGGAATTTGTTCCTATCTTCCCTCAAGAACTGCCACAGGGAGTACATTAAAACATGCTACGGTTAGTGCTCTCTGGAATTTAGGCATGGTTATGTGGTGTATTTGTCTTACTGAACTGAAAAACAAGCCTGACAGCTCAGGAAAAAGTTATTGGATTGGGCAGATTGATCCAGTTGGGCTTCCAGATCTCAGGCATGTTCCTGAGTCATCATTAAAAATGCTTCTCTAGAAAGACCACAATATTGTTGGTTAATTCTCCCTTCAGTCAGAGATAATCCACTAGGCTGAACCAATAGGGTGGAGCTTTCTTCACATAGAAAGATGTCAATCCACACATTACAATGCAAACATTATTTCGAGGACATCTGAATCATGTGGACAGGATCAATTTCCCTTCACTTGTCTACCATTCTCTAGATACAGTGTATTACAAATCTCTGGCAAACCAATTGCTTGCTCCTGAACAACAGCCAAAATCTGAAGTCCCATCAACATCTGGGGACCAACCACCGTTTATTAATTCTTCTAATCCTATTTCAAACTCAGCTTCTGAAATACAGCTCACAAAATTAAAACATGAATAGATAATAATATTGAATGGGCTCCAACAGGAATTAGATTCTTAGAGGCTCTTTTTCCCCATTTCTGCCAAATTCTGAAATGTGCCTGGAAAAAATAAATGTTTTTTTTTTCTTCCCTGAAGGTATTACCATTGGATTTCTTTCCTTCCCATGATTTGCTTGCTCTTCTTTATAGAGTCCATTCATTGCCAGGCAAATGTATCATTATTTAGACAAGGCTATCTGATTACCCAATTTTCTTTACTGATCAAGGTGTTTTCATTATGTTTTATTGCAAGAAACAAAATTTATCGTATTTTGGAAAAGAAAAGGATGAGGAAATAATTTTCTCCCTCCCTCCTTGCAGCCTCCAACTCTACTCCCTATGCTCTCTATAGTGTTTCGATTTACTTTTTAGTAATTACACTTAGCACAAGATTTTTTTTCAGATCAGCACTTTACAATTTGTCTTTTATGTCAAGTCATATGCCTGTAAGTCATATCAGGTTCAGAATCAAGTCAACTGTAATCATGTTTAGTATGTCATTTACTTCATTTCAGTGTTTTAAAAGGGGTTTTCTACCACTCCTTAAAAATAACATCAAACAGATATTTGCAATTCTCTGCTTGCTAGCTTATTCAGAAAGATTTTATAATTACTGTCAACTGCTTCAGGGTTTTCTGTAGAAAAACAACACAAAGAAACTTCCACATAAAACTGAATCTATATTTCCTGATTACTTTTACTATTTATACTATATATATTTATACTTACTGTGAAGTTATAACTCTTGAGGTGGTAGATCTCAGGAAACTTATCAAAGGTAACAACGATATTGTAACGAGTGAAATTCAAATAACCAAGATGAACCACAATAATTTCATCACAATCCTGTGAATTGGCAGATGAAAATTGGTTAGTAGACCAATAATAGCCTTAACTTCATTTTGATTTGGAAATGAGTGAATAGTTCTAAAACACATATGGTTTAGATACAGCCTCTTATTTTTTTAAATGTTACTGACAAAGAACTCATCCATATGAAATAATATTGTCTTTCTTTACTAATAATACTTTTTAGAATTTCTACCAAACATATTGCCATCACTCCTCCTAGAAAGGTAGAAAGGCAACTTGTTGAACCTGTGATTAACCATATTAATCAATTATTAAATTGTGGGTTTCTCTAACTGGTATATGGTTGCACATTTACCTTTTTAGCATTTTTAAGAAAAAAAATAAGAAGTTTTAGTGGGCCTACCTTAGCACAGTTGAATATCCTTGTCCGGTTGTGAGTTTCTCTGTTATAGTACCGTACACTTCCATTCTTTAGTACACCACGTATTGTAACTGACATAATAAAGCTAATTTTCAAGCTATCCAATTTGTTATCTGAAACATTAAATCAAATACTTGTGATTGAACCTTTTTTTGGAACCATGGACTGCGCCCCCCCCCGCCCTCCCCAAATTCAGTTGCATGGAGAGATGCTCTAAAGCAAAGGTATCAAACTTGATCGCATCACATGCCGGATTGCGACATATTGTGATGTTTTTTGCCTTTGAGGAGCTGGAATGGGCATCGCCTGAGTGGCTGTATGCAGCTTGCAGGCCGCCAGTTTGACGGGCCTGCTCTAAAAGAGCCTAGGAGAGGCCATGACAAAAACTATTTTTTTGTTTTGTTTTAATCAAATATAGGTAATAAGACTATTTCCAAGTATATAAATACTTTCTCCCTTCTACATTAAAAGATTCAATTCATTAACAACTTCAAGAATTGTTCCGAAAACCATTTCCTAGGGCAGTGGCCCCCAGGGACCATTTCCGTGAAGAAAGATTTTTCTGTGGTCCAGGGTGGAGGTCATGGCCAGCAGTAATGTGCTGCCTGCATCCTGCAGATGGCACTTCACTTGTTTGTGTGGACCGTTTCTGGTATGCCATGGACTAGTGCCAGTCCATGGACCAGGGATTGGGGACCCCTGCCCTAGGGTTTTGAAGCCGCAAGTCACCCAGGGTCTCAGATTGTGTTCCCCTCCTATAAGAGGGATAGTGTAACATAGAGGAAAAGAATAAATCAGGAAGGATGGAAATACATCAAGAAACATTTAGCCTGGCTTAGTGGCTCAGTGGCTAAGATGCTGAGCTTGTCGATCAGAAAGGTCAGCAGTTTGGTGGTTCGAATCCCTAATATAGGTCTCCTGCATGAGTAGGGGGTTGGGCTAGATGACCTCCAAGATCCCTTCCAACTCTGTTACTGTTAAGTACAGAATCAGTCAAGTCAGCAAGAGGCTTTTGAAACTGGTTCACTTTGAAATATGCTTCCAAATTGGCGCCACATTTTTCAGGCATTACCGTGTTTCCCAGAAAATAAGACCCTGTCTTATATTTTTTTGAACCCTGAAATAAGTGCTTGGCCTTATTGCCATGCGCTCAAAAGCCCGATTGGGTTTATTATCAGGGGATGTCTTATTTTGGGGGAAACAGAGTACTAACCTTCTTCTATGACTTATGATAGCTTTCTTCAAATAGATGTCCCCCAGACGTGTTGGATGACACCTGTAATATTTAACCAGCACCAGGAGAGCAAATGGCTGGGTTAGGCTGATATTTGCTCGATATTTCTGGAGGCAAGATTCAGCTAGTTCACAATCTTTAGACCAACAAAAGTACTCATTAATTCTAGTTCTTTTATTACTGGATCTTTTATATTTCATACATCTGCAAATTTGTCTTACATATGTGAAATATGTCACATAATCTGTTATCTGGAGAAATTTACCTTGCTTATTTTTTTAAAGAAGGAAAAATCTTACAAACTAAGGCAGATTAGAAACCTAATCTGTTGTGACAAAACAAAAGTGATGCATGAGAAAAGAATTTATGGTGACAAGGCCGCAATGTATCAGTATCTTGTCATCTTTTCCTCTCCTGAGGGTATTATTCATTTTGTAATCTATATACCTATTCTCCTAATCTCTTAATGGAGAGGGAGTTTGAAAATATTTTAAAATGTTGCTTCTTTCCATGAGTCAGTCTAAGAACAGGTGTCTTCCTTTAGCAAAATATCCAGTTTTCTTTACAGAACTTTAATACATGGCCTCCTTAACACTAAGTTAATCTTCAGGTAACTACTATTACTCATTTATTTGCCCTCATTCCATCCTTTTTAAAAGTATACAATGACATGAGCATTTATTAGACTCTTTTTTTAAAAAAAAAAAAAGTTGTTTTATTTATTTATTTATTTATTATTTGATTTGTATACCGCCCTACTCCCGAAGGACTCAGGGCGGTGAACAGCCAAGCAATAAAATACATAAATACACAAAATTGTATGCTGTCCAGAGTCACTTTTGTGAGATGGATAACTATATAAATTTGATAACAACTAAAAATATACAATGATATGTACTCTAGCATGTGCATGGTACACACAGCAAATGCTGGCAGTTACATGCAACTGATGTAGCTAAAGGAAATGTAATTTTGCAATAGGGTCTGTCTTCAGCAGAAATTTCCTCCAATGAAAAATGTATTTTCCTAGTTAACCCAAAGTACAGAAGTAACATAATCCATCTTTTCTTGGCAACCTGATTTCAGTGTTTTTCCGACATATGTTCCCCAGCTACAATAACAATGGTACATAAATTGCCTAGTTATATCTTGATATTAGTAAAAGAGTAATGTGTTGCAATCCACTCCTTGCTTACTAACTCCCCATTTCTATTGGCTTCTTTTTATGTAAAGTTGTAGAGACAGGGTTATCAAATACCTAAGATACTGTGATATAAAACCAGTGTATCAGATATGTCTCTGTTTTCTCCATGCTAAACCAAAATGGGACACAAACACTATATATCAGGCCTGTGCAATCCGTGGCTCATGAGCCACATGTGGTCCTGGACAGCGAATAATGCAGCCTTACAAAATCATAAACTTTTAAATTGTATGATTTATAAATATTAACCTTATTATATATAGTGTGTGGCCCAAGACAATTCCTCTTCATTCAATGCAGCCCCAGTAAGCCAAAAGGTTGGATATCCATGCTATATACCATTAACAAGTATATATGTAATTAAAATAATGCAGCACAACAGCAATCTACAACTAAACTAAAAAATATCCTTACCAGAAGGTTGATCCAAGTGCACAGTACAGGTAAGCCATAGTTGCTGATTATAAGTAGATACTGGTGGCGAACTTAAGGGAAATGACTTTGTCTACAACAAAATGGAAGTCAAAGGTGAAATCGTGAAATCTTCCCACTAAAAATCATTCTAATGGAAGTATAAGCTAGTCCACTTTTTAGCAGTATCTGTTAAGCATTAATAGTACAAATGTTACCTGATTCAGGTTCATTGAAAATGTTTTCAGAAATACAAGGACATGTATTAAAAATGCACCTCCATCAATTAAAAGCACTATCCAAATGTAATTTGTTAAAAGAAAAAGTGTCATTCACACAATTCATGGAGCACAGTGGTCCATGCGTGGTTAGGATGCTGGGTTGGAGGTTAGCCAGCCCGTGTTCAAGATCCGAGTGGGGCTGTAGGGCAGGGTTGAGCTCAGGGGTGGGATTCAACCGGTTCAGACTAGTTTGGGCAAACCGGTTATTATGATTTTGCGCAGTTCAGAGAAACTGGTAAAATCAACCACTGGCTAGACCCACCCACCCTGCCTCGCCCTGCCCCACCCTGCCTTATATATTATCTTTCCTTCGCCATGCAGTCCAGCTAATCTCCGTGCCTCGCCTGCTCTGCTCACCATAGGTAAGCATGCCGCCCACTCGCCGTTTGTCTTGGGTTGGGGCCTGTGGTCACGCCATTCCCCAGCTCTGGACTTGCCCCAGAGCCTCCAGTGGCTCACTGCCCGCCTCAGCCAGGTTGGGGAAAGCGTAATTCCCCGGTTACGGCCTTGCTTCAGGTCTCCACCCACTTACCGCACACTCAGCCAGGTCATGGAATGAGCCATTCCCTGATTCCAGCCTTGCCCCGGGACTTTGCCTGCCTGCCGCTGCCTCCCTCTGGCCTCAAACTACTGAACGGTTCTTCTTAGCTGGCTGCAGCAGAGATCTTGCAGCTGTCCCTTGCCGAGGCTTGGTCGCTCGCAGAGACGCTCCAAGTGGTCTCCAGGTCAGCAGCTGCTTCTCTCCACTGCTGCTCTTGCTGGGAGAGAGAGCGTCACTTGTGCAATTTAGCAGCTGTGAGCCGCCGCTTTCCTCTAAGTCCCACCTGGAAAGTGCGCAGCACAGAGAAGCAGTAGCCATGTTGAATGCTGTTTCTCTGTGCCACAGCACTTTCCAAATGGGACTTAAAGGAAAGCAGCTCACAGCTGCTAAATTGCACAAGAGGCACTCTCTCTCCCAGCAAGAGCAGCAGCGGAGAGAAGCAGCCGCTGCCCCAGAGAGCAGAGTTGGAGCACAGCAGGTCACGAAAGGCTGCTCGGTTGACCCTCGCCATGTGGTGGAAGCCACACATGCGTAGAAGTCGTGCATACACACATGCGCACGCACTCATATTTTCGGTGAAACGGTTGTGAAATGGGTTGAATCCCACCACTGATTGAGCTCCCTTCCTTTGCTCCAGCTCCTGCCAGGGACATGAAAGGAGCCCCCTACTGGATGTTCCCCAGGCAATGGTGATGTCACTGGCTAATCCTTTCAACCAGGAATCCCACAGCGCTTCTCACACACATGTTAAGAGTTTCATTGTTTTGTCCTTAGCCATAAAACATATTCTGGTCCCTAAGAAATCTTAAAAATCTGCATTTCATTAAGACAAAGGGGTTCATGGTTTACGGTAGTCCTTGGCTTATGACTATGAGACCAGAATTTCCATGGCTAAGCAAGGCAGTTGAGTCACACCTAATTTTACAACCTTTTTTGCCATGGTTGTGAAGCCAATCACTGGAGTTGAGCGAGCCATGCAGTCATTAAGTGAATCCAGCTTCCCCCATTGACTTTGCTTGTCAGAAGCCAGCTGGGAAGATCTCCAATGGCAATTGCATGACCCCGGGACACCGCAACTGTCATAAATATATGCCAGTTGCCAAGCAACCAAATTTTGATCACATGGTCATGAGGATGCTGTGACCATCGTTAAGTGCAAGGAATGGTTGTCACTTTTTTCAGTGCTGTTATAACTTTCAGTGGTCACTAAATGAATGGTTGTAAGTGGAGAACTATCTGTATTTGGTATGGAAGTAGAAACAAGGTAACTGGTGTTACCTTGAATTACAGCCCGGGTGTCAGTAGGAAGAGACTTGACCTTTGCTACTGAACCACTGAATGGTTGCGCAAGCCGTAGTCTCAAGATAAGCCCAATGCCATAGTTAATATTATTCTGAATCTAAGAAATTGTTGGAATGATAGTAGATTTTTATCTACTGTTATTTGTATACCAGTTAAAAATTGCCTATAAAGTCAGAATACATCAAATCCAAAAACAAGGACAAGAAGCCTTACCTTTGAACCATTATTTATCGGAGGTATTTCTGATATGCATTCTATGACTCTGGGACCTGAATGAGACATAAAGGCACACAACGTAATCTTGGAATGTAATCTTGGAATGTAATCTATGAACGGCTGTGGAACTCTGGGAGTCCATACCACTGAAAGCTGATGACGCTCAGAAATATTTCTGTAAAACTATCAAATGTTTGGGTTTAAAACAAAAACAACTTCAAATGTTTTTTTGAAACACATCGTTCAGATAAGACTACGGAAGGTATTGTGTAAAATTGCAGGACAATTGAATCTACTTCCTGTGAAAGCAAGACAGATTTTCCAGCTCCTGAAAAACCTGCCTGCCTCGAGAATTTTGCATCACCCTTTAAAAGCAAACAGTGCGTATCAGTCACTCAGACTGGCTAATTGTGTAAGAGGAAAGCATCTGAATCAGCATCTACTTCCCCAGGATAACAAAGGTCAGGGCAGGTTCACCCTTCCAACGTGACACCAAAGTGCACATACGTGGCCCTGGAGGTCAACTGTACTGAAGGAGTTTTGTCAGCAAACTGCAGATGAACCCTGCATGCTTTATATGTGTTTAGAAATCAGGTGTGAGTAGCCAGTATTTAAATACAGGCAGTCCTTGACTTACGGCCACAACTGAGCCCAAAATTTCTGTTGTTAAACGAGACATTTGTTAAGTGAGCTTTAGCCCAAAGATGCTTTTTTTCAAGAGGCAACTGGACTTTCTGGTTTTTCTTTGAAGACATTTCGCTTCTCATCCAAGAAGCTTCTTCAGGACTTTGCTTTCAGAAAACAGCTGAGACGGTCGCAAATGGCACAACCCCCAGAGGCTGCAACGGTTGTAAATACATGCTAGTTGCCAAGTGCCTGATTTTGATCACGTAACCTGGGGATACCGCAACTGTTGTCAGAATGAGGATTGGTCACAAGTCACTTTTTTCAGTGCTGTCGTAACTTTAAATGGTCACTAAATGAATGATCGTATGGAGTGCAAATTCAAGACGGGGGAGCACATTTGAGGGTCACGGGCAGTAGTCAGTTCCACTTATCTTCGCTACCAGTTTGGAACTGCGAGTGTGCATTTGGTGCTTCTGCGCATGAGAACCTTCTGCACATGCGCAGAGCGTCCGTGATGACACCCGGGTGGGTGGGCGGCGCCCCCTGCCACTACCAGTTTGCCCAAACCGGGGCAAACCAGTAGAAACCCACCACAGGTGACATTGTTTCTTAAAGGTCACCAACTATCACTACTCTTAAAACATTAGCATCTTTCAGTACAGGTAGTCCTTGACTTACAACTATTCATTTAGCAACCGTTCAAGGTTACAATGGCACTGAAAAAAGTCACTGACTGATGACTGTTTTTCACTTACAACCATTGCAGTATCCCCATGGTCACATGATCAGAATTTGGACACTTGACAATTGGCTCATATTTATGATGGTTGCAGTGTCCCAGGGTCATGTGATCCCCTTTTGTGAACCTCTGACAAGCAAAATTAATAGGAAAGCCAGATTTGCTTAACAACCATGTCACTAACCTAAGAACTGCAGTGATTCACTTAACAACTGTGGCAAGAAAAGTTGTAAAAAAGTGTCTTGCTTAGCAATGGAAATTTTGGGCTCAATCATGGTCGCAAGTCAAGGACAAGCTGTAACGCCTAAAGTTCGTTTCTCCTTTTCGTATCAAGATACAAATAGGGAATATCTTCATTGGTTTCACTGTTATAGTAACATAATCACAATGTAGCCAAGGAACAGAATCAGAAGCAAGGGGAAAAAAAATCTGGAAGAAAAGGTGAAAATCTTACCTGCAATGCCTATTAAGACTGTCAAGCCAAAACAAATGAAGAATACTACAAAGACCAAAACAAAATGGCGCTTGGACAGAGTATACAATCGCATTGGAGCCAGTCTGCAAACAAGGAGAGAAAAATTAAGTTACAGTTAAACATCCAGCAGCAACTTTATGTTATCGGGAGTGGGAGTGCCTTTTTCTTCCAGATAACCAATTCCAAAATTAAACAATAGAATTTCTGTCTAATGTACTTGGCCATTAATTCATGTTTTTGAACAGGTTTTTTTGGACATCACTTTGGAAGGGTTTGTATTAAACACTAACATATTCTTATCAAATGTATAAGTCAACCTTCGGAAATGTATGCATACTTTATTCCTGATTTACATAAAGCAGGCTATGTCTTAATGGTAAGTGCTACATTTGATCCAATTTGTGACCTTATCGTTGTCCCTGTGCATAATCAGAAAATGATACCCAGATGTTCTTGAAGGAATCAGAAAGAAACAGTAGAAACACACAAACACTTCTATTTCTATATTCCCTTTATAATGTGCTGATGTTTACATGAAGAGAAATTTAGAAGAAATGTTGAATGTTCCTAGATCTCTTCACTTATTATGCCTTCAGGTGCTTCAGTAAAAAGCAAAAAGACTCGGCTTTCATTATAATGGTTAGTTCTTGCATGATAGTGTAACGTAGCCAACTGTTAGAACACATATCTAATCTTGCCTATCCCCAGCATTAACATGGCTTTGGGATCAAGAAGTTAACAATGTTTCATTCTGCATACAAATACAATGCAAAAAAGGAAATCAACATTCGGTATGTCTCAATCCACACTTTTTAAAAGCATCCACAATTTTAATAAAGACATAAACACAGCTGCTCACAGAATAAGTCCCTTCCTCCTAGGTCAGCAACAGAGAGGAAGAGATCTTTCCTGGGGCCTTGTTTCTAAAAATAAAGTTGACACACCTCATAACTCCCAGTGAAATTACATCTCTTGACTTGGCAGCTCTTATCCCAATTATAAATCAACAAATTACAGGCAGTTTTACATAAAACAAGCTATTGCTTTCTGATTATTTTATCATATAAATTCTGTTTTATCAGTGACAGATTAAGCTATGGCTCCGTTCAAATCCTATATGGAAGTCGAAAACAAGCCTGCTTTTCCATCAGCTAAATCAACTTTTTTTCAACCCGGTGCTCTCCAAAGACATACTATATAGATCAGCATTTTTTTTTTCAACGTCAGTCGCTTTCAGATGAGTGGACTTCAATTCCCAGAACTCCCCAACCAGCATGAGGGATTCTGGGAGTTGAAGTCCACACATCTTAAAAGTTGCTGAGGTTGAGAAAACACTGCTCCAGCATCGATTAGGGGAGCCCAATAATCTGGACAGTATCACAAGGAGGGAAGATTGGACCGGAGCTACCAAACTGCTCTTAACGACCCTTGGGCTGAGCCTTAATTTCCTCCTCAATGTTGGAACCGGCCACGAAATCCGGCTGGTATGTTGCAACGTAACCGGAGCACATCAGGCTGGGAAAGGTTTTACGAAGTCTGGCCTGAATTACGCACAGTAGGATGGGAGCAAAGTTGCAAAGCGAGAGCCACGCAGCCCCTCTTTCCTTCCCTCGAGTACATCCCACCCCCTCGGCGCTGCCCAGGGAAGCCCCCCCACCCCGTTGCCTTCTCAAGCGCAGCTCCTCCCCAACTTACAGCTCCATGTCCAGGCTGCACATGCGCACCAAGGCTCCTTCACTTTGCCAGCATCTCACCTGCAGCCGAGGAGCCGCTCCACTGCCACCTGGCCCGGTCGCCAGCTGCTCATCCCACTTCCGCGTGCGTCACCCGGCTGAGGGGGACAGGGCGAGAAGAGCCCCGCCCAGCCGCTCTTTGGGAGGAAGGGAGGGGGGGAGCAGCTACGCGCTGCCAGGAAAGATTTCCACCGCTGCCCCAGCCGGCAATATGAAAACCTCTAAGGAGGGACGAGGGCGGGAAGAATGGCTGAGCCTCTAAAGAAGCTCAGGAAGCCTCGTTTCCCAGGCTCCTCCTGCTTCTTTGCCTTTAAAAAAATAAAAATCTCCCTCAAGTTGGTACGAAATTCTGGCGGCTGATGTTCCTTCCGTTATTCTGTAGGAAGTTATTCTAAGTCTAAGTCTTCCTTGAAAATCACAGGCTTCACACACCAAACCCAAAACAAATGAGCCAGAATGATAGCATAACAGAGTTGAGAGGGACCTTGGAGGTCTTCTAGTCCAACCCCCCCCCCTGCTCAAACAAGAGGCCCTACTACACCATTCTGGACAAATGGTTGTCCAGTCATTTCTTTAAAAAAAAAAAAAACTCCAGTTTTTTAAGCACCCACAATTTCTGGAGGCAAAGCATTCGTTCTACTGGTTAATTGTTCTCACTTGTAGGAAGTTAGCACCCACCCCTTTCCTAGTAGAATGAAATATTTTAGGAAATATTAAAAAGGCAGAATGTTATGTTTTCCTGTATGAGAAATGGAGAAGCAGGTTTAAAAGACAAAGCAGCTCCCACCTTCCTGCCTCCCCCCCCACCTTTTGTCAATGGTCCAGAGGCAGAAACTCAATCTTTGTCAATGGACCATCATCTGCAACACAATAGGACCCATCTAGCAACAGAAACTCACCACATGGCACCTGGGAAGATTACATCAGCCAGCAAGGCTAGCTAAGACCCCCACCCCCTGAGAGTCTGACAACCAATCCGGATATGCTTTCTGGGCCCCAGGAAGTTCAAAGCCAGAGAGGGCATAAAACCCGGGCAGCATCTCGGCCCTTTTCTGTTCAGGCACTCAAACCATGTGATCCTGTCCACCATTGAACCATCTTTCCAAGCAGTCTCCATGTTTCCAGTGTCTTTTTCCCCACTTGGAGCTGAACCCAGAAGGATATTTCTTCTAACACACTGACAGGAAATTTCTCCTTAGTTCTTCTCTCCACATAATCATCGGGCACAAAGATAATTGATTGACTAATTTCATTGATTATATGCTATTAAGTAAGTGACGGCTCTTAACCAGATAGATTTTGTCCATGACACTGTACCCAACCTAGTTCTTCAGCACTTCAAATGGCACACCCATTTCTCCTGAGTCCATCCAGGTTGGTGCAGGTCATCCTTCTTTTGCCCCTTCCATCTTTCTCATCATTACAGTCTATTTCTCAAAAGAGTTGAATTTTTGTATGAAGTACCCAAAGAATGATAATCTGAGTGTGGACATTTGTATCTCTCTTTATTGATTTGTCCTCTGACCCACTTGCCTGCTGTCTTGACTATTTGTAGTATTCTCGGGGTTTTCCAACACCAAAGCTCCAAAGCATTGGTGCTTTTTCAAATTCCAATTTGTGCTTCACAGGGGAAATAATTCCCTGCATGTTTCTGATCTTTGTAGCTATAGATGCATCCCAGCATTTACTGATGTTGTCTCTAAGGTGTTAGAGTTTGATTGCTTCTATGTTTGTTTTGTTTTTTGTTTCTTTATGTTAATCTGTGACTGCAATAAAGATCATATTCATCTGAATAGCTTTTCCAAGGCCTTCTTGGCTATTCAATCGGTCTTTATCCCAGTCCACTATTCCATCTTGTTTGAAGGCTTCCACCATTGTTCCGTTGCCAAAGAAGTTCCCTATCAATAACCTCAATGATTACAGACCAGTGGCATTCACTCCTATCACCATGAAGTGCTTTGAGAAATTGGTCTGTTGGCACAGACTTATTATCAGGGGATGTTTTATTTTGGGGGAAAGAGGGTAGATCTACAGTGGATGCTAGAATCATCACTCTTCACACTACTCTGACCCATTTGGAACAGTGGGGGGCCTATGTAAGGATGCTTTTTGTAGATTTTACCTCTACATTTAACACAATTCTTCCACATAGACTAGTGTCTAAACTTATGGATCTTGGGCTTTCTCCTTCAAACTGCCTTTGGATTATGAATTTCCTGTCTGGCTGCTCTCAGAGGATCAGATTAGGTAATCATATCTCTTCAGCCCTTATTCTTAACACTAGTACACCACAGGGTTGCGTGTTGAGCAGGGGTGAAATGCTCCCTGTTCGGACCAGCTCGGGCGAGTAGGTAGCGATGGCGGCGGGCAGTTCGAAGAACCGGTAGCAAAAATCCCTGCCCCCGCCCCCCATGCCCAGCTGAGCCGCGCGATCATCAGAGGCTTTTTTCCTTTTAAATGCCTCTGACGAGCCAAGCTCTGATGATCCCAGCTGAGTTGCCTGATCGGCAGAGGGTTTTTTAAAAACCCTCTGATAATCAGGCAACTCAGCTGGGATCGTCAGAGCCTTTAGAAAGCATTTTTTTACATGGTTTTACATGTAAAAAATGGTTTTAAAAGTAAAATAAATTGGCCACGCCCACCCAGTCACATTAACCCCCCCACCAAGCCACGCCCACAGAACCGGTAGTAACAAATTTTAAATTTTACCACTGGTGTTGAGTCCCTTACTCTATACTCTTTATGTACATGACTGCATTCCCATTCATGCCAGTAATACTATTATTAAATTTGCAGATGATACAACAGTGGTAGGATTCATCTCCAGGGGGGATGAGTCTGCCTATTGAGATGAGGTGAATCGGTTGCTTTTGTGGTGTGGAGACAATAACTTGGTCCTTAACACCAATAAGACCAAGGAACTTATAGTGGACTATAGAAGGAATAGATCAGATATCCAGCCCTTGGTTATCAATGGAGACCGAGTGGAGCAAGAGCCAGTGTTAAGTTTCTGGGTGTTATCATAAAAGGGGACCTGACCTGGGGCACTCACATTGCAGCACTGATCAAAAGGGTCCAGCAGAGATTATACTACCTGAGACTTCTCAGGAAACAACAATTGAATGAAAAACTGCTGGTGACCTTCTACTGCTGTGCCATTTTAACTTACTGCACCTGTGTATGCCAATTGCACAGTGGCAGATAGGACAGTGCTTCAGAGGTTAACATCATTGCCCAGAGGATTATTGGTTGCCCTCTTTATAGCTCCCGCTGCCTTAAGAAAGTTCAAAACATTCTTAAAGTTCCATCCCATCCTGGGCATCCTTTTTTTGAACTATTACCATCTGGCAGATGGTACAGGATAATAAAAACAAGGACAAATAGGCTGAAAAACAGCTTCTATCCCAGAAGAGTAACTATATTGAATTCTACTGTATAGTGCAATATTAATGCAATATCAGAGGTTTCAATTCAATTGTATAGAATGTGGATGTTTTTTTTTTAATTTTCATTTTTTTATGTATAATGTACACTGAAGATGGCATTTAATTTCATTGTACGAGGTGCAATAAAAATAAAGTAAACTACAGTGATTAAACTAATTAAAGTGTTAATCTGCAGTATCTTTCCTGATTGCTGGTTCTTTTACTCTTAATACTGTACCTAATCATAAAAATCAGACATTATGGACCATATCAGCATCTTTATTGTCAATTTTAGGGCTGTTTTCTTTTAATTTTGTCATTAGTTTGACCTTATTTAATCTGATTCAGTTTTTTTACTGTGCACCTTGATTTTTATCACGAGAGGTTCATTTGCATTTTTTCAACTATCAGAGCAGTATCACCACCATAGTGCATGTTACTTAAGTTTCCTTTTCTAAGTTTAAAATTATGCTTCTTCCAGTTTTGATTATATGCCATCAAGTCATTGTTGTCTCCTTAAAACAATAGATTTTTTTCATACCTTCCACCATGCATTCATCACCTTGCCACTGATTGTCCTCTTCTTCTATTTCCTTCCATCTTTCCAACATTACAGCCTTCTCCAGAGAAGTAGACCTCAATACTTATTCAACATTTTTTTTTCTTTTTATAACCCTGTAGTCCCTTAATTCGAAGTAGAGTAGGGGCGATTGGATGGAGCTGAACATTCTCTGGCCAGATGCCCTTCCTGATGCTTTTATTAAGCATATAATGTTGAATAAATTAGGGGATGGATATACCCTTGTCTTTTGCCATCTGGAGCCCATCTCTATTGCCATGTTCTGTATGTAGCATGATTTTTGTCCTGTCTGAGATTTTTAAATTAAATATTTTGGGATTCTTATTTTCCTAAAGACTTTCCACACTTCAAATGGTCAACACAATCAAAGGTCTTTGTATAATCAAGAAAATCAACATTAATAACAATACCAATAGTGTTTAGGCTTATATACTGGTGCATAATGTTTTAACAGTACTCTCTGGGTGGTTTACCATGTAAGAATTATTTGCGTATTATCCCCAACAATCTGGGTCCTCATTTTACTGACCTCAGAAGGATGGAAGGCTGAGTCGACCTTGAGCCCTGTCAGGATCGAACTCCGGACTGTGGACTGAATTTGCCTGCAGTACTGCACTTTAACCACTGTGCCATCAGGGCTCTTTAACATTAACTTTGAACATTAAACATTAGCTTCTTTTTGGTATTCTTTCTTTCCTTATTTATTTTATTTTATTATAAAATATATTGGCCAACCATTTTACCATAGGATAACTCTGGGTGGCTTACAGTCATAAAAATATGTCTATACATGTACAATTAAAACATAAATAATTAAAATCAAACCTAAGGTCACATGGGGAGGGTGGGGGCAGAGTATGGGGAGATGGAATCTGTTGTTATTTAGCATGCATGAGCTATAATATTTATTTCCTCAACATATTCAAAAACTAGCGTGGACATCTGGCATTGCCCTCTCTGTGTAGGACTCTAATCTGTATTAGATAATTCTAAACATTATTTTGCTGGCATGTAAAATTAAAGATATTCTGTTGTAACTTGTACTCTGCTAAATCTCATTTCTTCTTTGAAAGACTGTCCTCTTTCAATCTCATGTCACTGTTGGTTTATATGGATATGGCTTAAACTGTTGCACGTACTACCTGTTGGGTTTTGTAACCTATGATTTCTGTTTATCACAGTGTGTGAAACATGTCAGTGGAAGTTATTTAATAAACCATAATTAAGCCAAAGTTTAGTGCAATTGTAAACTTGTCCCCATGTCTCTAATGTGTGAAAACCTCCCACGTTTTCACTCCTGGTGATGTAATGTAAATCAACTCTAAAGGAGGCTAAAACTACTGTTATTGAGATGGGCTATAATAACAGAGCCTTGCAATCCTGATTATATTGTATCTCCTCTCCTTGTTCTTCAATGAATCTTGATAATATTAAGAAGTTTGAACTGCTTCTGAATATTATCAAATCTTAAAATATGGTTCAGGCTCTTTTGCCTAGGACATGGTTCTTGCATATTTCCCTCAATGTCATCTTCCTTACTCTCTGCAATAACTGCCTAAAATAATTGATTTTGAATAAGTCAAAAGAAAGTAAGTAGATTCTTTAGGGACTAGATGCCTTATCAGACTTCTATTCTCAAAAGGTAAGATATTGCATACTGTTGCATACTTAGTTGAAGGGAGGCTGAGGTGCTATTTCCTTTTTCATCTCAAGCACCACAAGCAGCAAAGTACTTGGGGTGCATTTAGAGCCTTATAAAACATTACTATACTTTAGCCAACATTAATACTCAGCCAATACAGAAGTTTACTATATTAACATTCTCAAGCATTGTGGGGGGGTGGGGTTCTTTCTTAAAAATATTACACTGTGATCCTTTTTTAGGAAAAAAGATTGATCTATGGCACAGTTAAATCTATATAAATAAATATATTTATAAATAAATGTAAAATTAAATTTTATTATATGGTAATAGAAGCTAAATTTTATTTTAAGAGCTTATGATTAGCATAAAAATAACTATTGATTCACTTGTAGTTCCCACCAAGAGTATTGTTAATGCATTTGGTTAGTAAAGATTTTGGCCAGTGGTAGTGGAACTTTGTCTCCAGATCAAATACTCCTCCCCTGGATGTCAGTGAGAGAGCAAAAAGGAAGAGAGAACTTTTATCTCCATTATGACACCTTGGAAACTTTTGGATAAAGCTGGCTTCTGCAAGAGATACATTCTTAACTAAGACTGTGATTCTATATATATTAATTGAAACTGTTTACTGGGGCACACTGTATGGTAGGTAGGTGGCCTGGGCAATTCTAGTTTTCTATATCATTTTCTGTCACATAATTTCTATGCACCTATTGGGAAGTTAAACCCCAGCTTCAAGAATACACATTCCTTCAGAATAGTCAAGCACAGACAGAACTCTAATCTGAGGTTATCATCCAAACATTTAGATAAGGAACATATTTTTCAATCACCATCGGGGTTCAAGAAATCTAAGAAAGCCTTCCCTTTTTAGGGAATATTTTAAATCTTCAGTGAAAATAAATTAACTCAGCTGGGAGAAATCAGAGCTCTTTCCTGACAGCCATTTTGTAATGAAAGGGAATTGTTTTCATGATACTATAAGCCAAAGCGGCTTTTCTAAGATTGACATGAGGACCCTGTTGCAGGCGCCATCTCCCACTCCCCCCACCCTGACCAAGATGGGAAGGCTGCCCAGAATGAGAAAAGCTCCCTGAGCATATGATCTCGCCTAAATCGCCCATTGATGCTTGAGAAGCTAGCTGATGTCACGCTAGTCAGTTCCCCTGGACCTTGAATGGAAGAGCCTTTTCCCACAGGCCCAACTGCTCATGCACACAATCCTCTTAGGGAACATTAAAAAGCTCCTGCTCTCAGCCTGGCCTTTACTAAAAACTGGGATGGGATGTGTTGGGATGGGTGGGATGCGGGGAGTTAGTGGCCCACCTATCTGACGCCCCAAATTGAGGGAAGCTTCTTTTGCCTCCCTTCCAGGATGATTCAGGGATGCAGTTTGCCCAGCACCGTTCCCTCACCCTCTCCTCTTACCTGTAGTAACGATCATCCTTGTAAGGGGTGAGATCTTCTTTGATCTCCTTATAGGTCTCTTTGATCCTTTGGTAAATGTGCTTGAGCTCGCCGCAGAGCGGGTTTTCAAAAGCGGGATAATCGCCCTCCATTCCGCACCCTGATATTAGAAAGCTCTCCTGCTCCAGCCCCTTGACGTCGGTCCCTTCCTTCGCTCAGCCATGAAACCCTCTTATTCCTGTGCCCCCCAAAGCTCTCCGGGCTGCCGATAGGGCCATCGAAGGCCACAGAGACGATCCGGGAAACTAGCGCTGGAATAAATCCGCCTCCCTCTGTACTTCTCCCTCTGCCTCGGTCGCTCCTTCTCACCGAGCAGAGCGCCGCCCCTGGCGCGGAAAGGAGTTTCGTATGAAAGCCGACGCTCGGTCTGCACTAGCTCCGGGAGCTGGGGGAAGAGGGACCTTTGAAAGGCAGACAAGTGGAAACAAGGCTGACAAAGGCCGCGATAACTGAACCGAGAAAAATATGCTAACCTTTCGCTCTTTCTTTCAAGCCTTGAAAGCCTTAGGAGTCCCGAACTGGGCCGAATTATGGGGGAGGGAAATCAGCACCAAGGATAGCGCCGAGGAATCCTGTCTCAAGGCGGACGCAACGGACCTTCCTGGGCGTTAAGAGTCAAGGGGAGGACACCCCTTGTTTGCCCTCCACCCCCCTCCCTTGAAACACAGCCACACGAGAATTAACCTCCCATCGCAGCCTTTTCAGTCGGTTGTTGATGGTTTCGTGTTTGTTCTTCAGTCCTTGCTTGTTTTACCCAAATAAATGTAGTTTGTGCTGCAACTGGGTTAGTGCCTTCTGCACTTTTCCAGAATTTAGCGGAAAAAGACTGCAACTCGGTTGCTGACTAGGATTGACAGGTTAAGTCAGAATGAGTTTTTAATGTTTTTAATGTTTCAATGTCTTTTTATAATGATTTTTTAAATGTATTGCGAGCCACCCTGAGTCTTCGGAGAGGGGCGGCACATAAATTTAATTAATTAAATTAAATTAAATTAATTTTTTTAAAGAAACTTTATTAAGTTTAAAAACATAAATATATTAACATTTTCATTAATATCGGATATGCAGTGGTTTTAAGTATATACAAAATATATTTCTGGTGTCATTTAAGTTACTTTTTACTTTTATTTAACACACCTTTTTCTCTTCCTTTGATTTTATCATTCATCCATTCATACCACCTTCCCCACACGGTATAGTATTCTGAATTCTCCTCATCGTTTATTTCATGGGTTAGTTTGGTCATCTCTGCGCACTCCAGTATTTTCCTAGTTATAAGCTCTTCTGGTGGCTGGGTTTTCTCTTTCCAATATTGTGCATAGGCCAATCTGGCAGCTATAATTATGTGTATCATTAAATGAATCCTTTCCTTTCCATATGGCTTCTTTACTATTCCTAGGAGAAATATTTCCGGTGTCAATTCAATATCTTCTCCAGTTATTTCTTGTAACCATCTCCTGATCTTACTCCAATATCCTTTCGCTTCAGGGCATGTCCACCACATATGAAAGAAGGTGCCTTGACCATGGCCACATTTCCAGCAATTGGGGTGTATATTGGGATATATCTTTGCTAGCTTAGCCGGGGCTAAATACCATCTGTGGAGCATCTTATAATGATTTTCCTTGTATGTCGCGGCTCTGGTCAATTTAAGGTTCTTATTCCATGCCTCTTCCCATTCATTAAAATTTATGTCATGTCCAATATTTTTCTCCCATGCACTCATTTGATTTTTTGTTATATCCTCAGCCCTGTCTTCATCTAATAAATAATTGTATAATTTAGCCAGGATCTTTTTGCCTGTTCCCATCAGGACTTTATCCAACCCATTAAGTCCTAGTTCTAAGCCGCATTGTTCTTTATCTTTCTGATACCTGGATTTTATTTGTAGATAGGTCCACCAATCTAAAATTATTCCTTGCTCTCTCAAGGCATCATTTGATTTAAGATTTCCTCCTTCATCTAAAATGTCTTTATACCTACTCATTTTCTCCATTCCCCATCTATTGGGATAGATCAGGGCCTCCATCGTGGAGAGCCATCTTGGGACTTTTTTATAGTATCTCTGTCTAATCCCAGTCCATGTTTGTATCAATGATGGGGTTAAATTAAATTAATTATCTATGCAATTTTAAACTGGGCTCTTGGTAATTACCTGAGCTAACAATTTCCCTCTCCACCCCTATCCAACAATAATTTATAATCTTTCCGAGGGGAGTGCTGTACTCTTATTAGTAATCACCCATCTCCTGCTCATTGTCTTCCATCCTTCTGTTTCCTTGAACTCGCCAAACATAATTGGTTTTAGGTTTTTTTGAGATCTTCTCATATCTCATATCCAAAATGTAGAAGCTTTTTTGGCTGATTATTGCTTCAAGGAAGTGTGTGGGTGCACTTTTAAGTCAGTCTGTTAACTGCTTGGACAAGCCTCTGCAGTTTTCTTAGCAACATTTCTGAACTGGTTTCCTTCACTTTAAATCATCTTGCTTTTCCATTGTCCATCTTGAATTAGCTCATCTTCTGTGTTTCTCCTCCCTTTAAAAAAAAAAAAAGACTTCCAGATCGTATGACATGCCTCTACACCTGTATGTCTCTATTCTTCTTTATAAGATCTTAAGGAAACTTTTATTCCATAAGGAATTAGTGTCATGGCTCAATTGTTTTCACATTCATTTGCATTACTTCCACTTGTGCTTTTACAATCTGTAGACCATACAGTATGTATGCATTTTATAAGAAGTTATTTGCTCTTCAGCTGCTAGTCCCCTGCAACTCTAAACAGTTCAAAGAGTGTTTTATCTATAAATGCCATATTTTGACAAATGGCCAGTTGTCTCTGAACTTTACTGTCTATTGGGGAGAGTTCCTGACCCATTTGTAAAGGAATCCAATATAATTTTTCAGTATGGTTATCTCCTAACGCCATTTCTTTTTAATAGATCACCTCTGATTACTCTTTAGTATCACTACCTTGGCTATATATTTTCCTGTAATTTATAATTTAAATCATTTATCTTCTTAAAATCATTTTTGGTTCTCATATTTTGATGTCATATTCACTGGCATTTTAAAATGTATTTTCTTGACATTTGTTGCTTGACATGGGAAGTGAGTGTATATCTTGTGGGATCTTTCCATAACTCCGTGATTTCCTTTTGCATGTATACCGAATGTGCTTTGTGCTTTGAGTGTTAATGCATTACAGATCAGGTCTTGCTGGCGCATCTATTCTTTATTGATTTGAATTTCACCCATATATTTGATTCACTGTTTGTTCCACAATCTGCATCTTGCAGTGTTATATATGAGTGGACTGTACTTTTTCATCTTCATTTCCTATCACAAGTAGTCCTTGACTTACAACTGCCATAGAGCCCAAAATTTCCACTGCTAAGCAAGACAGATGTTAAGTGAGTTTTGTCCAATTTTATGACTTTTCTTACCACAGTTGTTAAGTGAATTGCTGCAATTGTTAAGTTAGTAACACGGTTGTCAAGTAAATCTGGCTTTCTCATTGACTTTGCTTATCAGAAGGTTGCAAAAGGAGATCACAGGGACTTGGGAACACAGCAACCATCATAAACACTAGTTGCCAGGTGTCCAAATTTTGATCACATGACCATAGGGATGCTGCAACAGTCATAAGTGTGAAAAAAAGGTCATGTCGTTTTTTTTCTGTGTTGTCGTAATTTCAAATGGTCACTAAATGAATGGTTTGTCCAAGTCGAACCTGTACACAGTTGATTTTATCCCACTGTTGTGAATCTGGTGATGTACAGAAGTACAGCTCGCTTGTTTTAAGATCATTGAATGCTGCGCAAATAACAGATTTTCATGCATATTGCCAGGCCTCTTAATTTCTAATGCAAAACGTCCAATCATTTTTATTATATGTGTTCCTAACTGTATTGATTATATTCCTATTAAATTTTGCACTGTAGCTTGTTTTAGAAATCTTTTGATCATACATTAATTAAAGGTGAAGTTACCATCGGTACTTTACAAGTCGTTCTCAACTTACGACCACAATTGAGCCCCAAATTTATGTTGCTGAGAAATTTGTTAAATGAGCTTTGTCCCATTTTATGACTTTTCTCACCACATTTGTTAAGTTAATCACTGCAGTTAGTAAATTAGTAACACGGTTGTTAAGTGAATCTGATTTCCCCATTGACTGTGCTTGTCAAAGGTTGCAGGTGGTGATCACATAACCCCAGGACACTGCAACTGTCATAAATGTGAGTCAGTTGCATCCGAATCTAAATCATATGAATATGGGGATGCTGCAACAGTCATAAGTGTGAAAATGGTCATAAGTCACTTTTTTCAGTGCTGTTGTAACTTCGGTTACTAAATGAATTGTTGTAAGTCAAGGATTACCTGTAATCTATTTTATCTTTTTTATAATATTGCATAGTATTTATTTTTGTATTGCTTTAGTTGTTGTTTTTTCATAGATGTTCTTAACTGCCATCTTTTCAAAGCGAACTGCCAAGAGTCTTTGTTTGATTGCATTGGCACAGAAATGTTGGAGTTTAGTTATAACAAAACTTAGTTGGAAAGAAAATCTGCTATAAAAATTATTTTTTTCCTTGGAATGGTTTCCAGAAGCTTTACTTCTGACAAGTCCTGAAAGAAAGGGTTTATTATTACTTACCAAGTTCTTTGAAATTGTAGTATTCTTAAAAATGCTTGAATTATACAATAGTTTGCCTCTTTTGAACAATGCCCATTACAAATATATGTTTTGAAGAAATTGCGATATTATTTGAACATGTTGAAATTTGGAAACAAGGAATCTCTTTGTCCAATTCCATCACAAACACGTTCACTTCTCATATTTATTATTTGGGTTTTGCGATATTCATAGATTTAATTCAGGATTGGATTCTCTTCTGTGTCTTATTTTTGGTGAGAAAATCAAATAAAGTTTGCATTCATATTAAGGCTTTTTATATCACAATAGCAACATATAACAAGGTGATCCTTCACTGCTATTATTTTTTTAAGAGTAGGTGTCAAGTTTCAATTCCTTGACATTAAACCTGATTTTAAAAGAAGGAATCTAGAGCTAATATTGGCTTAGGAGCTAAGAATGCAGGGTTACAACTCTCTGTAAGAGAAGGAAACTGGCTGTTATCCAAAATTTGATTATGACAAATTATCATTATAAAATTTCTAGGTTGAAATTTTGCAGGCGTGTCATCATGTCTGACCAATGGAGAGGTTAGAATGGGCCATGGAAGTCCATTAAGTCATTAGGAGTAACTAGCTAGTGTAAATATTCAAACTTTTCAGTCCAACTTAAAGCATTGGAAGATGAAGATAAGTTGCTCAATAAGAGGCAAAACCACATCAGAGATTCTCTAGCTTGCAAAAAATTTAATAAGCAACACCTGGACAATTCTTACAGTTTCAAATCATCAAGGATATTAGGGCCACCAACCCAATCTCAATCATGTAGACAGTCAAAAGTTGGAACAAATCACATTATTGAAGGGAAACCACTTAATGCTTTCTAGGTATCTTCTCCACAATCTATTACACAGAGCACATAACAGGAGAGGCAATTCAGGGCACGGTTCATAATTACAATGAAAATCAGATCTGAATAGAAGATTTTTCAAAAAATGAACCAATTATTTGAAAGGGCCATTTAAAAATATCATAGGTGCAGCAATCAGAGAAATGTATCAATTTCTCTACAGAACTGAGAGTGTCATGCAAGTTACGCATGTTTAGGAAACTTACATTATCTAAGCACATACTTTTGTAAAAACATGGAGAAAACTGAACCCCAAGATGAAGCAAAACAAAGAAAAAAAACCACAAAACCCGTTCCTCAAATAACAACACAAAAAGAAATAAAGCAGATAAATTCAAAAACATTTATCAAAATTAAAGTACCCGAATTATGCATTTTTATTAACAAATGCATTTTTCAATAAAGACCACAGTGCCTCAACCAAACTATATCCCCATGCAATTCTGTAATACAAAAGTTGTATCTACAGCGAACAGCAAGTTTTAAAAATTCTTCACCACAAAAAAGAGGGGAAGAACAAATCTGGGGAGAGGGTGGACACAAAATGGAAAGAGAGAGAGGATAATTTGAAGATCCTCCTAACTCTTCAGTATATTTCAGTCAGGGGTCAGTTGCATATAATGTATTCATTTAGAAAACCCAGACTGTATCTGTATTTAGACCTGAATCAGATTCTATTCCCTCTGTACTCCTGTATTATTTGGAAATAGTATGCAATAAAGGCCCACAATTGCAACATGGAAAGCTGTCATTAAAATTACCTATTTTAATGGTTCAGTTTTTCCAATTGTATTTTGAAACATTTGATTTGAAAAATTCTTGTTATACCGTTGAATTTCTAACTAGCTCTATTGCTATAACGAGCAGGGACCATCAGCTGAATGATTTCACTGGCTGCTTCTTAGTTTGAGTGCCCGCTGGATAGAAGTTTTGCTACAAGCAGGAAAGACAATTGTAGTAGTACATTGGTCCTAAAGAGCTAGAAGGAACAGAAGAGGTAACAACCATTTCTCTTGTCTATCATATTCATTTCTCTCATAGGAGTCACCTAATACAAAAACAGAGATCTAAGTGCCAATATATGGTGTTGAATCATGGAGAAAGCTAGGGAGTTCCAGAAAAACATCTACTTCTGCTTCATTGACTATGCTAAAGCCTTTGATTGTGTGGATCACAATAAATTGTGGCAAGAGATGGGAGTTCCAGACCATTTTATTTGTCTCTTGAGAAACCTATATGCGGGTCAAGAAGCAACAGTGAGAACTGGACATGGAACCACTGATTGGTTCAAAATTGAGAAAGGAGTTCGGCAAGGTTGTATACTGTCGCCCTGCCTATTTAACTTCTATGCAGAGCACATCATGAGAAAGGCGGGGCTAGATTAATCACAAGTTGGAATGCCAGGAGAAATATCAACAACCTCAGATATGCAGATGATACCACTCTAATGGCAGAAAGTGAAGAGGAACTAAAGAGCCTCTTGATGCGGGTGAAGGAGGGGAGTGCAAAAGTTGGCTTGAAACTCAACATTAAGAAAACTAAGATCATGGCTCCCGGCCCTCTCAATTCCTGGCAAATAGATGGGGAGAAATGGAGGTAGTGACAGATTTTATTTTCCTGGGCTCCAAGATCACTGCACATGGGGACTACAGCCAAGAAATTAAGACGCTTGCTCCTGGGGACGAAAGCTATGGCAAAATTAAACAGCATACTAAAAAACAGAGACATCACTCTGCCAACAAAAGTGTGTATACTCAAGGTTATGGTTTTCCCAGTTGCAATATATGGTTGTGAAAGTTGAACCATAAGGAAGGCTAAGCGTCAAAGAATTGAGGCCTTTGAACTATGGTGCTGGAGAAGACTCCTGAAAGTCACTTGGACTGCAAGGCAATCAACCCTGTCAGTCCTAGAGGAAATCAACCCTGACTGCTCTTTAAAAGACCAGATCCTGAAGATGAAACTGAAATACTTTGGCCACTTAATGAGAAGGAAGGACTCACTGGAGAAGAGCCTAATGCTGGGAATGATTGAGGGCAAAAGAAGGGGACGGCAGAGAATGAGGTGGCTGGATGGAGTCACTGAAGCAGTGTGAGCTTAAATGGTCTACGGGGGATGGTAGAGGACAGGAAGGCCTGGAGGAAAGTTGTTCAAGGGGCCGCGATGGATCGGACACAACTTCGCATCTAACAACAACAAATACAAAAACTGATTCTGATATTATTATTTTTCTTTCTTTAAATTTGTAGATGCATATGAGAGCTGGAGGTTTTTTTTTATGTGTGTAACCAAATACTGTGAACAGGACAGACAAAATACTCTGCTGATTCACTTGTCTATGATTACCTGCCATGCCATTACAAAATTATTGGCCAACAAAGGTCTGTATTTACATAAATAGTGGAAAAAAATCTTGATAGAGAAAATGAGCAATGGCCAACCATGCAGGCATGTTACATTGTATCTAAATCTCCCTAGGTAATTGGCAAAGGTGACCACTAATTGCATGCTTGATAATTATCTCACTGCTGGAATGATTCAATCAAGTTTAAAGGCATTTTCCTCAAACTCCCAAAGAATATCTTGTATATGCAGGTCTTGCTTATCAAAGAAGGAACAAGCAAGGGCAACACAGGTCTTAATGTATATTTTACCGGTGCAGGATATTACAAATATTTTCTCTGAAGGGGCAGGATTTATTTATTTCATACTTCATTTATGTCTATCCATCCTTTCTTATTCAAAATCCACATATAGTACAGCATAGGATTGTTATCTAGGTAAGATTTAATTCAGCAATGCTTAGATTTATTAATGTTTGTGTCAAGTGCCTTCAAAATGTACTGAGCCAGATTGCTAGTCAATCCGATGAGAGGTTCCATTGTAACACTACCATAACTCATTACTGTAAACAAAATGACTCAAAATCACTAAATTTTGAGTAAAGTCTTGAATCCAGTGATGCATAGAACTACCAAAGTTGCTCAAAGAAACCTAAGAGATAAGCTTAGTGCTGAAGGATTTCCTCTACTATAGTATTTCCTTACCAGTACTCCATTTTAAGTTTAAGTTATTTGGTCTTTCCCAGTTTCACAAACACAACAAAAACAATTACACCAAAATATTTCTAATTTTTGTATATTTTCAAAGACTTCCCTTCCAATAAAATATTTGTGGTAAAACTCAAGATTCTATATTCTCATTGAAACGTATAAATACTATATAAAATATATGAAAAAGATATTTTTTCAGTTTTTTAACCCTGCCTTTAATATTTGTATAAATAACCCAAGATGGCAACCTACCTAATATTCCTTCCTTCTATTTTCCCCATAACAACTCTGTGAGGAGAGTTGGGCTGAGTGTGTGTGACTGGCCCAAAGTCACCCAGCTGGCTTTCATGCCTAATATAAGACTAGAACTCACACTCTCCTGGTTTCCAATCTGGTGCCTTATCCATTAGACAAAATAAAGTGGAGGAAATGATCACAGATTTTATTGTAATGTTACGTAGAGTTAGAAAGAAATTATGAGGCTTGTATCAGTCCAAAAAAATAATTGAATGCCTTGTATAAACCTGTGTTCCCTTTCAGCTACTTTATATGTAGTATCAAACCATTGCTGTTAATAATTTACTTTGCAGTTGTTGTTTTCTTTCTTAAACATCAACTCATAGAACACTTAGTATTCCTGCATTTGCTTTTCTTCATTCATTTGGGATGGGAGTTGGGCGTTTCCAGAAATTACATTCGATCATAGTTAACATGTTCAGAACTCATTTAAAACAAATGAGTTAAACAGTTAAAACAAAGTAGTCTGGTGAGCCCTTTTCTCATTCATTAAGTCCTAATAGTCTTATTTATCTATGGCATCACTTCAAGTAGCACTGTAAGTTTGACTAACTAGATTTGGTCCTTGCTACAAGCCCTAAAGCTAGTTCAAAATTACTGTGAGACATTAACAGGTGGCTACTATAAGTTATGTAGTATCCAAGATCAGATTTAGAACACTATCAAGTACTGTGAATGAATGTCAAATGCAATTTGTTGGTCATATCTTAGACATGCCTAAAGACTGGCATCCAAAATTGCACATTCCTAGAGGAAATAGGAAATGAAGCCAGCCTCGGAAAACCTAGCGCCAAACATTTAAGGAAGATTTTAAGATTACTAATGTATCTTGGGATGTAACTAAAGATGTTGCAAACAATCAAAACTGCTGGAAATCATTTACTGGCCAATGGGCTCTGCACAGGACATGATGATGATGATGATGATGACTCAAAACGTCAAATGCTGGCACAAGTTCTGAACATGCCAATTCTTGTTTCTGGGTTTTGTATCTCTGTCTGTCTGTCTGTCTGTCTATCTTATCTATCCATCCATCCATCCACCCATCCATTTTATTTCTAAACCATCCATCTCCCTCAGGGACGGGCTCTGAGCAGTGCATTTGTTGTATTTTGTATGAAGCTATATGTTTCCATGATGAAAAGTATATGATACTACCAAATACCACAAGTCAAGATACTCAAGAGCCTTCAGAAATGGAGCAGCATATAAAATAATATATACATGATCAAGCTTTATATAAATAAAAACAATCATTTCCAATTAAAGGTTTCTTATAGGCCTAAAAATAACCCTCAATTTCACACTGTAAACCAAATATAATGTAATTATATTTGTTTATTAAGCAACCAAGGAGTGCTGGAGGCAATATCCAAATGCATCAATGCGGAGGATGATTTCTTAGAGGGGAATGGCCAGTAATTAAAACAACAGGGTGTTCAAAATAGTCTCAGAATATAATGGCGGACTTTACGGCAAATGACAGTTGTTAAATCTTTCTCAGCAATTTCTTCAGGGGCAAAATCAGTCTTTCTCTACCTTGGCAACTTTAAAATGTGTGAACTTCAATTCCCAGAAATCCCCAGCCAGCATGTTTATTGGAGGATTCTTGAATTCCACATATCATAAAATTGCTTAGGTTGGGACACACTGCTTAGGTTGAGAATATTTAGACATGGAAAGCAATTTATGCTATTGGAGAATGGAAAATTGCAGCAGTTTGTTAAGGAGAGATAGTTGAGCAAAATAAATCATTTTTTTATTTTTTGGTGGCACTTTCAAAGTGTGCAAATAGCCAAAAAAGAGGAGTCTGATTGTTTAGGACAATTAAAACAAAACAGTATGTAACACTTGATTTAGGCATAATGCATCACATGTATGTGGATCAAAAATCTCTGGGAATCTCTTTCAATGTCACTGCATCTCTGCCCTGTCAAAATTTCTTTCTAGCTTATTTTTAATCTGTTCAAATCATCAAAAGGTACCCATCTCTCCTCTGGAATTAGAATCGAGTAAGGATCCAACAAATGAGAGTGGAGCAGGACAGCAAGATGAATTCTGCAGCTTTCCAACTCGTATTGGATCCTGTCTTTTATTCTTAACTGCTAGTCCTGCTACCTGATTGATAAGATTTGGATTCCAAAAGTGTTGGACACACCACAGGTTTCTGACTTACAGTCTGTCTAACCTCTATACTGTTTGTGAGGACTGATTTATTCTCCCCTCAAATAGGAGGGGGGGAAATCCAGCGTTCAGGAAACAAAATTGTTCTTGCACCAAAACTTGTTGCCAAGATTCCTATTAATAAAAATGTGTGCTTTGCAATTGGTGGTTATTCAAAGTTATGAATTTAGAAAGATGGACTTTCTACATTAGATATCATAAAAAGGTGTCTGGTGGATATAGCAAGAACTGCATTCTAAAATATTTTTTACATGACTCAGAAGCCTTATTAAAATTCTCTTGTCCAAGGACAACCATCATCTGATATACAGGCATCTAACAAAAATGTAGCTGTTAGAAGAGACACATAAACCCTCTTGATTGGTCAGAACCAAGGTTGCTGTTTCATTCATTTATTTCTTTTATCAGACTTACTTCTGAGCTTTGAACAACTTGAGACATAACACTGAGCAGGTGAAACCTTTGTTCTTCAATAAAGTTATCTCTTTGGATGTTTTGCTCAAAGAATGCAGCTACTCTTGGGTCCCGAAGAGCTGCTCCCCAGAATTAGAGACTCCCTTTCACCAGGGACCTGTACCAGAAAGAGGAAATGGGCAAATGTTCCCCTGGATCAAGAAGAAGGGACAGTCTGAGCCTAGATACCTTTGGTTCCAAGCCAAAAAAGCCAATTAACTTTGGACAGGAAATTCAAAACAAGAAAGGGTGGAGGGCAAAGCCTGTATCCTGCAGGAAAAGACAAGGTTAGGGATGCTTTGAATCCACTGTATGGGGACTAGGTAACTTTTTTGTTCTGCTTCTTTGTCTGATGAGTGGTTCCAATAAAGGAATATGCTTATTCTCCCCCTCCGCCCCCCCCCCCCAATACCTTTCCCTCAAGGACGCTGCAAATACTATGATTGTCTAGGGCTGAAAAGTACAACATGGGGAGCTACCAATTTATACTTTTGTGTTCTGTGATCATCCCATGTGGTTGCATTAAATAGACAATGCAACATCCTGAGAAATGCCCCTTTAGTATAGAACTATTATTTTTGCAACTTTAAGCCTTTTCATTCTAAAATGGAAATAACAGTGGATGAAGCTGCAAAAGCTAGGGATAATGCAAGAAGCGAACGGCAATTTTCAGCTCCTCCAAATTTCCCACTCCCTACTTATTCCTTTGTTAATAGAATTTGTTTCTACTAAAATAATCAAAGAAGTCTACTTATGTACTTATGCTACAAGTGTGCAATTTAAAAATTTTCTAGTTGTGAGAAATATGGGACATAACATTTGGATTATTTATGACCAAATTGATTTCTGTATGCTTTTCCTTCTAGATAAAACTTCTGCATAAGGAAAATGTTGTTGTTTTCCTGAAATCTGCAACATTTCATGGAAGCTGTTTTGGTTTGCACACTCAAAGCCAAGAAAATAGGAATCTAATAAGTTCATAAAACAGACACACGTACTCTTAAAGCCATCTCTTTTGGAATATCTGTCATAGGTTTTGACACATTATAGACAATTTATCAAGGTGAAATAATATATCTCGCTATCCAAAGTTAAATAAAAATACTATTACATTCTCCCTCTGCTTTGACTTTCAAATAATTTATTGGGGTACTGTCACTCCAATTTATTGCCAAATGGTCATATTCAAATTGAAAAATAGAGAAAAGGGAAGTTTTCTCCACCTCTGGTTTTATTTTTCAACCAGCACAGATTCAGCTGGATATAAACCAGGAACCTTCTGATTTACAATTTAGCATCCATCCTTAGTGGAATTCATACGGCAAGAATAGCAAAAGAAAAGGAAATGTACTCCAATGTAATACACTAGCTTTTCTCTTATCCTGTTAGATATCAAGTTTTTCTCATAATAGTTCAAGAGTAATCACAATATTGTTTGGACTGTTAACTATCTCAGCTTGATTTTCTCCAGTGAAACCTTAAGACAATCCCTTTCTACGATCTGCTTATGTGCATCCATTTTTAAATCTTAGCCAAATAGAGCTATATCTAGCTACCCTTAGCTAATCTTAGCTAAATGTACCAACTCCAGTTCAAATGCTGAATCCTGATCTGATTTTGGTTTGCCAATCTGACCTGTTGCCTATAATTCACAAAAAGTGCTCCAGTTTTTGCCAATAGTCTTCTGGATTAGTACTACAATGTTGTGGAACTCCAATTGCTCAAAAGTTACATTTTTATTTATTTAATTTGTAAACATTGTTAAGTGAGGACCAGAAGATGTAGCTCTTACTTAAATGCCACACCAAGTCATATGTATCCTACATTCATACAAAAATCAATACAAATATTTCAAAACAACATGTATCTGCATGCCTCATTCCCTGGCCTCCCCCCTCCCGCCCCCTAGTTTTTACTGTCTGGTACAGACTCATAATCCAGATCACAGATCACAATGAAAAGGAAGAGAAAAAAAACCTCACTAGCTTCTTCAACACAGCATCTTTTGCAAACTACCCCCAAAGTAATAGCTTTTCTTTTGAAGAATATTTTAGAAATTAGATATGGATTTCCAACAAATCTCTATCATGCCTACAGAGCTCAGCTATCTGGGAAAAAACACATGTCTTCAAGTATAATATAGCCTTCTTGTTCTTTTTTTGCTGTTAGAATTGATGTAAATAATACCAACAAGTCCAAAGTGAGGGGCCATGATTTCTCGGTTTAGAAAGAACAGAACAGCGTGAAGAAAAAAGAGAGAGAGAGAGAGAGAGAAGGGAGGGAGGGATGGAGGGAGGGAGGGAAGAAGGAAGGAAGGAAGGAAGGAAGGAAGGAAGGAAGGAAGGAAGGAAAGAAGGAAGGAAGGGCAATCTTTAAAATCCCTCTATCATCTTACATTAGCTATTTTTTGCAGCAAACACAGAAGAACCATCACAAGTCAAAAGCCACATTTTCCCAGCATAATACCGAATAGATCTCATCCTTCCTTTGCTCCGAAAAATCAGCAAAATATTGATTCAAATAAATTTAACCCCAAACCAAAAGGGTCCCAACCCCATTCCCCCAAGTGTTTAAAGTTGATGCCCTCCTTTGGGCACTTGTAGACTTTTCCAGTTGCATTTCCACCTTTCCTCTCCGATTCCTTTGTGCAACTCTACTAGACCTCCACCCTGACATTTCCTGGGCTGGCCCTTACGAGAAAGCTCCATTGGGTGGGGTGGATTTTTATTTTTTTATTTTTTATTTTTGTAATCCTCCCTAGACTGTTTTTCTCTTTTCATTTCAGACGTTGAGTCACATTAGCCAAAGCTACTGCAAAGGCCTGCACCGCTGAAAATGGATATTGAAAGTCCAAGATATAGGCATTGCCATCAATCCGTCCAAATTGCATGACCTGAAGGATTGGGGGGAGGGGAGGAGGGGAAGAAGAATAAAATTAGTGGCTGAAGAGAAAGAGTAAATAATAAATCAGATTAATAGAAAGTGGGCCATTAAAGGAAGGAGAAGCTCACAATCTTTTGCCTTCTACCAAGAATTATATTTATCTTTATTTATTAGATTGTTGTTCTGCCTTACCTGCTTTATAAGTAACTTGAGGCAGCAAACATACCTAATGCTTCTTTTTTTTTTTTTGCTTTAATTTATATGCCGCCCTTCTCCGGAGACTCAGGGCGGCTTACAATGTGTTAAGCAATAACCTTCATACTTTTGTATATTTATACAAAGTCAGCTTATTGCCCCCACAATCTGGGTCCTCATTTTACCTACCTTTGAAAGGATGGAAGGCTGAGTCAACCTTGAGCCTGGTGAAATTTGAACTTGCAGTAATTGCAAGCAGCAGATGTTAATAACAGTGCTTTAGTCCACTGTACTACAGGCTCTTTTTTTCTTTCTTCTCCTCTAATTCCCCCCAACAACAACAACAACAACAACCCTATGAGGTGGATTGGGCTAAGAAAAATTGATTGGCTCAAATCATCCAGCTGGCTTGGAATGAAGTTCTACTAGCATTGCTAAGGTTTTCAAAGAGAATGGCAGCCATACTGAGCACTAGGCTCTTCAATGGATTCAAACAACTATTCTGGACTGAACCATGGCTTACTGATTATGTCAAAACTGAACTTGCACACACTGCTAAATCATAAAACAGTGTTCACCAATCTCCAGATTGTGGATTTCAGTTCCCAGAATTCCTGAGAATTCTGGGAGTTGAATTCTACAAATCTGGAAGTGGCAGGATTCCCATGCCACATTAGCCCAAAGTCAACCAAACCATATTAGTCATTTTATTTATACTCATTTGTTTTCATTTTAAATCTTGAAGCAATTTACAAGGGTTCTATTTCAGTCGAGTGTGGAACTCATTTTAAAAACCAAAGAGTATGATTTCTCTGTTTTTAGAAAACAAAGCACTGGCTTAATTTTGAAAACCACTTTGTGTCTGTGTTTAGGTACATTCTACTACTAAAGTACGTAATACAGCAGCTCTTATAAGTGAGGAAAACAACAGTCAGAATTTCATATTTCCTCTTAACACTTCTGTTCACACTGTTGTTGTTTTGTAGCAGAAATGTTTATATGCCAGACTGGTGTCAAGTCTTCATTATGTAAATTATGCAATTTGCATCAGTCACATCTTGTCTCCTGTTGATTTATAGGAAAGCTGTAAACAATTGGCTTTTTAAAGAGACTCCTGGAAGGAGATAAAGTGTAAATTGGGAGTCACCATTATGGGTTTTGATTGGTTGCTTGATATTGCTCAGTAATCATAGTTTCCTTTGTAATTGACTTGCTCCTATGAGAGTCTGTTTGTGTGTGTGAAGATGTTTTGTTATTTTAATCTACTTACTGAGGGGAAAAGGTTGCTCTTTGGAGGGGAGCAACAATAAAGTCTCAGTATTATCAATAAATATGATGTGAATGAAGCAAATTACATGATTCATGTCATTTGTGTTTATGATATCATAACGCAAGAGATTTCCTCCCAATGCTTATCATTTCAGTGTGGTATTACTCACAGACCATAAGAGTTTCTAGTAATTTGGCTTGGTAATTTTTATTACTGCAAATATCCAGGAAAAAAATAAGCAGTTATCTTACCTTCCACTCTCTTCCTGGAACAAAACAGATTTATTTTTACATAGTTTCAAGTCTTTCAGGATACCCAAAAGTTGCAGGTATCTCAAAGAGAACTGTAAAAGTGGGAAATTTGTGGTCTCCAATGATTGCTGAACTATAACTCTTAGTAGCCCTAGTTAGCAAGGCTAATCAGGAATATCAGAAGTTGAAGTATCTTAAAGAGCTAGAGGTTTCTTAGCCATGATCCACACTTTATTCCCATCAGTACTTAAAGTCACGTCTCGTACAAATCTCACTCTAGTATCAGCAGTACATCTACCATGTGTGTGTGTGTGTTTTTGTGTGTGTGCGTGTGTATCATTCTTTGCAAGGAAATAGGTGAACTGTTCAAGAGCAATCATATGAAGCTTCACCTGACATACATGTTAAACAAAAAAGGGTTTTCCATTTTCTCTTGGTTAGCTTACCTGTCTTCCTTCCAGCTCAATCTGGAAATTCTTTGCAGATTCTTGAGTCACCCTCCCTCCAAAGTCCAGCTGATAGACCTGGGTTGCCTCATTCCACAAAGGCTGTTTATTTGCCATCACGTACACAAAGCCCTGGTTTCCCAGCCGCCCATCTTCCTTCTCGTTTGCTTTCCGACATTTAAATTCATCCAGTTCGCTGGCTGTCCTCAAGTTCCTTTTCGTTTTCCACCCCTTTTTACTCCCTTGGCTCTGATTCATCAGTTCATCCCCGCTAATAAACAATTCGGGCTCACTTTCTGAGCTGTCCTGAAATTCGTTCATCTTGTTCAGTTTTTTTGACTTCAGCTGATCTTTCTGACTCTTGAGTTTCTTCTTCTCCCTGCCCAGTCTTGGGCTGGCTATTAGGGAATTGAAGTCAGTCAATGTGGTCCTGGCCTCCTTTTTGACTTTTCCCTCTGTGATAGCCTGCATATTTCCTTCATCCGCCCGGCTATCCAGGCGCTTGCGATTCTTCTTCCCAAACTTGTCTGTCCTCTGAGAAATGGGACTTTCAGTCAAGGAGAGCACTTCTTGGAAGTTATCTGCTGTCTCTGCCATCACATCAGAGCCCACATGACCCGGAGGCTCTACTGGTGGTGGAGACATAACAGATTTGTCCACCACAAGAAGCGCCTTGGGTGGCAGAACGTTCTGGGTACTCTGGACAGAAGGTGGGCATGTGCTATAGGAATTCCATGGATGCAAGGCCATTGGTGGCAGCTGTAAACTTGAACAAGTACTATTTCCAGGATACATGGGAGGCAAAGGGCAGTAGGAGAGGTTTGAGGGATAGGCTGGCTGAAGAACAACAGATGGCTCCTGTTGTACAATTTGGGATGGGGCCAGAGCTTCTTTGGGAGAACAAGGGACCTGCATTCCTTGAAGAGGAGGAAGTGGAGGAGGAGGGATACTATAATTTCCCAAATATGGTGCTCCAACACCATAACTCATCTGGAAAGTGGCAGTGGGACTGGTTGGAGATTTGGGGGAAACAAAGGTTGCTCGGGATATATCCAAATGTTGAGCTTGGCCAATGACTAGAGGGTTGGATTTACCAGGGTTGGGCAAAGTACTATGAGCTGTCCTTTCTTGAGGAACCCATATCTCCTCGCTCACCATAGGTTCCCACTGATAGGGAGGTGGTCTTTTTACAGCAATGTTAGGTTCTGCCATGGCTACAGGGACGTGGCGTGCTGATTTCTCCACAGGGCAGTGTTGAGAAAGAGCCTCATCCTCCATGAAGGCAGAGTTTACGTAATCGGTCCGCTCCCGAGAATTGTCAAGTGGGTTCAGTAAATTGTAAGAGGATTGGGAGGCCAAAGGCGATGTACTGACTGAGTGTGCAATGACTGAATTGTGCTGAGAGCTGCTTCCTGTGGTTATATCAGGCCTCATAGTGCTGAGGCCTGATGTGCCGCTGCTTGCGTTGATATTATTGATGTTCCCATTTCCATTGTTCGTGTTGCTGATGCCATTGTTCGTGTTGCTGCTGCACTGGCTGCATGTGTACAGGGCAGTTGGCACTCGCTGCTGGTACTGGGCTCCCACAACATTGCTCTTCAGTTTCAGTGGGAACTGCAAAGTGGCCCTCTGGCTGTCCACCAACTGAGCCATTTTCAGGGCTGCCTCCCTACTATTTCTCCGCAGTGTAGCATGGATGATGCTATTGTCCAACCTCTGTGTGATGCCCCGGCCTTGAGCTAGCTGAGCTGCAATCTCTGGATAAGGGGGTGGGTCCCCTGTTGGAATGGAATAACGCGGAACTGTGAGCCTGTTCAAGGTGGCACTAGTGCATGGCTGCTGAATCTTCTTCTCTGATGAAGTAATCCGTAAAGTGGCAGAACTGCCTGGCCCGGGCAGAGTGTACGTGTTCTGGGCACACACCATCCGGGTTCGAGGGCGGCACACCTCCTCGACATTCCCACTGCTGTCGAAGGTGGTGATTCTCTCATAGCCCAGAGGGGTCTGGTAATGGGCTGCTGAATATAGAGAGAAATCACCTTTTTTCAAACAGAGATCTACCGGAGGTTGTGGAGGTACTGGAGGAGGTGGTGGTGGTGGTGGAGCCGTAGTAGGAGCCGCAGGTATGGTTCCGGGGTATGGAGGAGGAGGGTTTATTTTGTTCAGTTGAATTTCTTGGGCAGTGCTGAAGACAGCTGTGTCTCCTTCAGCCACCTGGGGGATGGGACGCAGAGCCTTAGCTTTTTGGAGGTGTTCGTGGTCTCTGTCCCCATCTCTGTGGTCCACAATTGCCATCTGGATGGCATTCTGGGGTGGCAAGGGTAACTGAGGAGGGACCTGGAGGATACGTCCCATTTCTACTCCTCCAAAGATCACTTGGCCTGGGCTAGAGTATCTGCTTGGGATTGGATAATGGACTGCATTATCAGCCACGTGGTCTGCTGTTGCCACAGCTGTTGTCTGATTTGCGAGGACATCCAGTTGCACATTCTGATTAGCTAGCAAAGACTGCACCAACCCAATGCTCTGAGTTGGTGACATTGCTTGTGCTGAACTGTGAATTGGAGCAATTGGGATGTTTACGGTGCAAGGTGGATTGTTCTCAGGAACTCCTGATGCTCCAGTCACTGTCATATAAACACATAGTATTACATTATGGCATTGAAGTGTTTATTTTCAATAGATATATTAGATTAATAGTGTCAGATTTAAAGTATAGTTTACAACAGGGGTGTCAACCTCGTGGCCCATGGGCCAGATGCGTCATGTGCTGGCCACGCCCACCCCAGTTTAGCAAAGGGGGAAAGTTGTGATACATCATGTGACAACAATGTGACGCCACGAGTTTGACACCCCTGGTTTACAGGATATCCTATCCTTGTCATCTCTATAATTCATTTTGTTAATCTCCCACTTAGCAAATACTTTGATTTACTCCACCTTTGAATTTGCATTGTTACTCAAACGAATGTACTGTATCTCTGTGGCATCGTCACGAGCAGCAAATCAAATAACTGTCAAATATGCTTTGCATTCTTCCTGAAAAGCATTTTTACTCCCAATTACAACAAATATCCTGGTCTAAAGGGAATCTTGATTGGCTAAAATTCTGCTAAACTTGGTGCTAACTAACTGGTTTAAAAAGATAATGGGAATTTGCCCCAAGGAGAAGGTTAGAATTGAATATAAATAAATCCTTATTAACGATCACCTACTGTTCTTTTATAGTGTGAATAAAGGATGAAGAATTTGACTAGAAATGAGTAGTTCCCAGGCTCCAATGAATCATTATGCCAATAAAACAATATACCTTCTCCCCAAAGTTATCAAAAGAATGGCTAACTATTTAACAACTCATAAACATAGGAACAAACTTCCTAGTATTCAAACCTTGGACTGCAGACATCCATAAAGGCTTTGATTTCTATGTGCTGCCGTGGAGTAATCTATGTGTTTAAGGCTTCCATTTGTCTAATAAAGAAACTAAATCATATTTGTGAGCCATCTGCCAAATAAGCCAACTCCTGAATAAATGCTTACGTGACTAAAGAGCCAAGATTTACAGACCAGGCTGGTATGAAACCAGACAATCTATTTAGGTAAAATTAGGCTCTTTGATGTAAATTTAACAAAGTAAGTAGTCATATAATAAATTTTAATTTATATTATTAGAGCCAAGCAATTATGAAAACACAGTAATAATATAACTTGAAGATTTTAAATGCACCTATCCACCACTTTAATCTCAACAATCTTTAAAGAATAGAGTTGTACTAGAAATGAATAAATGCTACTATTAAAGACACTTGAATATAATTTGAAGAAAAAACTCTGATTTTTTTCTTCCTAGTTTCAGTTACATGTTGATAAGGTCTTCAATAACCTGAAATGATGGGGTATCCAATTTACAGAGCATGTAAATATTTCTTTCTATAAAAGTGAGATCTCATCTGTCTTCCTAAAACCTGGGCATGAAAAAACAAGATGAGCACACAAATATCTAAAAGTTCCTGGCAATATTGTTGTTGCTTAATCTCTGGATAATTTGGCAGGAATAGTATTTAATCAAGGCATATTGATTTTATCATTAAGAAATGCTATTATCTTTTCCAGGTCTGAGTAATTGTGATTGCAAATCTTTGTATCATATTAAAACCTAGCCTCAGAAAATTTGCAAATTCGTAAATGATGTAATCCTAATGGTGATTATTAAATTCCCAGTTCCAAAAATGGCTGTTAAATTCCCAAAAGTCCTAATTAGCAATGGTTAGATCTCACTGGAATCCAGTTCATGCATAAATAATAACTGTCAATTAATCAACAGCATACCCACATAATACATAGATTAGTTATTATTTATGCTTTCTTGTTTACATGTGTAGACTGCCAAACTTTCTTCACCTTCTTGGGTTAATTCTTAATGTTGTTATTCAGAACATTGTAAGAACTAGAAGCTCGACCCAACTTATCTATCATATCTCCAGCTTTATATTCCTTATACCCTGTTTCCCCCAAAATAAGACATCCCCTGATAATAAGCCCAATCAGGATTTTGAGCGCATGGCAATAAGGCCAAGTGCTTATTTCAGGGTTCAAAAAAATATAAAACAGGGTCTTATTTTTGGGAAAACACGGTAGGATCTTGGCAAGACAAACTAGAAAGAATTGACAAAGTCTTGGACACTGCCAAGAATTCAAGTTCTGTCAAATTCCATAATTGATAGATGCCTTGTACAAGGCATCCAGCTCTTGAGGCTCTTCCAACTCGCAGCCTTCATCAGATCTCTCAGCTCAATAAGCAATATAAAGCAGGAGGTTGGTAGAGGGAGGAATTATCTGCGCTGGTGGGGATTCAGTAAAGGCTTCTTAGGATCTGTTAGGTCCCTGATGGAAGCACTAAAATAGATTATCAATTTTGGAGTTCATGGCCTTGTTACAAACTCCAAAGCAAGGAGTATGCTCACAGTGTCTCTTTATGATTGTCCTTATATATGCTTTAAATCAGGTTAATAGAATTGTGTATCCAGAGCTGTTTATTTCCAGCAGAACCACAGTTTGTGTACTCCATTAAAGGAACTAAATATTCAAGTTAAATCTCACCTGGTAAATCATCTTCATCTTCACTAAAAACATTGGGATTGAAAACAGGTAGGTTGATATAATCAGTGGAAATCTTCCGCACTTCTGGGAGATAAATGGTCATTTGCCTTGGCTGAAGATGCAACAAGCTGGTTTTATAGATAACTGCAGAAAGAATGACAAAAGAGGGAGGAAATAAAAACCAAAAATCCAAAGATGTAAACAAAAATTGGAAATTTCAGGCCATACTGAGAATGACTGAATTAACAATCACTACACTTCTGATTTGGGGATGAGGTCCTGTGAATAATTCAACAGGAACTAAAGTGTCACCCAGAAGCCTCTTAAGATTTTGAAGAATCATTTCAGATCATTTACAAGACTAGTCATCTCCCCAAATAACTACAGTAAAAATCTGTTCATAGTAACTTCATCACCTAATGTGTGATTATGGGAATTATCCCTTCCTGCCGATATATAGCAATTGGCATCAAACCAGAGACAAGACAGAACATGTCAAATCCCTGAGTAAATCTGAACAACATCATTATCAATTTTTAATGCAACCAGACACTTCTATTCTAAAATGTTTTTGTTGTCTGTTCCATTAGTTACACTTTTACCATTTCTAAAAAAAATTTGTGTGTTTTTTCTAAAAAGGAACTGGTATATACATATCTGGTTAGGAAGAAACTGAAATGAAAGTAAAGTTCAAAATTAAATTTTACCTGCACCGAGATTGGTTGGTAGGAACGCAGCCAAGCCTACTATTTTAAATTTGGTTCCCCAGATATTTGATGTGACCTGAGCAAGATAATTGTGCTGCAATGAAAAGACATAAGAAAAACAAGCTCATAAAAAATAATTTTAGAGCGTTTATAAACATTATTTTAATCAGGATCGAATCTGAGTCAGTCACTGGAATCAGAAATTTATTCTTCCAAGCTTTTGGACTTGTACTGGAGCCTATCTTCAGGGAACCTCTCTCTCTCCAAAATGTGTGCACAGCAAAGCTGGCTGTGGAATTCTTGGAGTTGAAGTCCACACATCTTCAATGTGCCAAGGTTGAGAAACACTGATCTAAATGGACGTTTCAGCTGCTGTGACCTAGTTCAAAACAAGGAATATTTTTGTGGGATGCAGTGTTCTTTATTGAAGATTATTGACTAATTTATCATATTGGGCCAGTCTGAGCTGAGTGATAGATATAATTTTGACTTCCAAGTCTAGGCTAGAGAAAGTGTGATTGGCCCAAAGTTATCCAACTAGCATCCATGTTTAAGAAAGGATAGAACTTCAGTCCAGAATCTTAAGCATTTTTGAAGAACATTTTAATTTATCGGCCACCCAACTCCAGTGGACTCTGGGCTAATATAATGCTGGTAAGTAGGCAAATAGATACCCTGTTTCCCTGAAAATAAGACTTCCCCTGATAATAAGCCCAATCGAGCTTTTGAGCGCATGTGCTAAAATAAGCCTCCCCCAAAAAATAAGCCCTCCCCAAAATATTTAAACACAGAGATGGAAATTAGGTAAGACAGCAAGAGGAGCCCCATCTTGCTCCATGTACCCCAAAATAATAAGACCTCCCCGAAAATAAGGCCAAGCACTTATTTTGGGGTTCAAAAAAATATAAAACAGGGTCTTATTTCGGGGAAACACAGTAGATGGCCACGTGAGGTACCTGAGTGATGTCTTCCAAAGGAAATTCTCTACGAGTTAGGCTAGGTGATCCTATGGAGGGCTTTCTTATTGGCAATCTGGGAGATCTTGATATCTCCTGAGCAGCTCGTGATAACTTTGGAGATTTGCGAGCTTCTATATTAATTCTGCAAATAAAATTTCAAGTTACTTATACACAAATAGATACGCTCTGTCTCTTTACAACATAGTCTGCTGATCTATGGACTGCTAATATGATCAGCAAGGTTCAGGTGGTCCTGGACTTACAACAGTTCACTTAGTAACCATTCAAAGTTACATCGGCACTGAAAAATGTGACTTATGACCCTTTTTCACACTTGTGACCATTGTGGCATCTCCATGATCACACGATTTACATTCGGATGCTTGACAAGTGACTCACATTTATGACGGTTCTAGTGTCCTAGGGTCATGTGATCCCCTTTTGCAACCTTTTGACAAGCAAAGTCAATGGGGAAACCAGATTCACTTAACAACCGTGTTACTAATTTAACAACTGCAGTGATTCACTTAACAAATGTGGCAAGAAAAGTTGTAAAATGGAGCAAAACTCACTTAACAAATTTCTCACTTAGCAACAGATATTTTGGGCTCAATTGTGGTTGTAAGTTGAGGACTACCTCTACAAGGAACAGTTGTCTCTGGAAGCAAAGGAAGAGCAAAATGCCTCTTTTTTTCCTTTCCTTTCTCCCAGCAAAAGGATACATGCATAGATCCACATTTTCTACCAGCATGAGAGATTGAAAATCAGTGCATTTTCACTGCTTTCAACAGAAGAAAAACCCTAGTGAATGATAAATTGGGAAAAATGACGACACTTCCTGGTTCCTCTCAGACTGAAAAAGTGGCCATTCCTTGTGCTGCAGGAAGCAAAAATGCAATTATTTTGTTTTTCTGGTAAGAAAAGTTGTGCATGTGCTTCCGTACACATATGGATGCGTTCATGATAGAGTAAGAATTGCAGGGAGGTTACTTATAGACATCCTAAGGCAGGGGTCGGCAACCTTTAAACACTCAAAGAGCCACAAAGGTCCTAACTGGAACCCCCCATTCAATTCTGGAGCCGACTGGAAGTCCAGTTCCCCCACCATAGAATCTCTTCCTAGTGTGGCATCGTTTTTCCTCTACCTGTCCTAACCGAAAGCCCTATCAATTGGGAAGCCGACTGGCGACAGGGAGCCGCAGCAGCGGGATGAAAGGGCCACATGTGGCTTCAGAGCCACGGGTTACTGACCCCTGTCCTAAGGGATTAGCCAATCTGCACTATATGCTACTGACTTTAGGAGGAGTTTTTCATACGAAAAAAGTAGTTATAGTGTAACAGCATTTTTTCTTTCTTTCTGGGATAACATTCAGGTTCAAATCCAGGACAGTTTTATGCTTACATATCAAATACGAGCATCAGGTTTAATATTCTGTGAAAACTATTCTCAGGTCAACAGGGATTAGGAGAGGCTTAGAGCAGTGTTCTGCAACAGGAACCTTATGGCTGAAATACTGAATTTTCAAGAAGGATAATGCCCTAATTTGCCCTTTTCAAAATAACCGATCTGGAACCAGTCAAAGAACCACTCAGTTCAGCCCAATACACATCAACAAAACCATGAAGTTCAGTAAACAGAAAGGAGAAAATTCCTCACAGCAGAAAATTATTCAGCTGTGGAATAGAAACTCTCTTGGCAATACTGATGAACTGGGCAATCGATCTGCCAAATTAAGAGCAAAGAAAGAGAAAGAAATGTGTCTGGAAAAGAATAAAAAACTTGGAAGTACCTTGTCACATTTTATGTTTCATCAAACCTCTGAAATTGTTTAACATCAGAGAGAAAAAAATATATTTGGTATTCACTTTATGCAAGGCTTGGCACTGATTTGACGAATGCTTGATAACAAACCTCAGAATCATGGCTACTTTACTCTGGTACTTAATCACAGAAAAGAATTCTAAGGTTCTTATCAAGCTTTATATGGGGAAAAAAAAAACCCCAGCATTTCTTAAATGGCCAGTTTCTTATGCCCCAGGAATATTACTTTTTATTCTAATTTTATGGGACAACATCTTTGCATATGCATACACATGATAATACATTTACAGATGGATATGTATGTGTATGCATGTGAATAATACATTCATATACATATACATAAAATTCATATACATATGGGAGAAAGAATACCTGGGAAGTTTGGGTGATTTACTAGCACGAGTGATTTTGGGAGATTTTTTCCCAGCCCAGTCATCACTCAGTTCAATATCACTGGAATCAGAGCAGTTGCAGCTATCAATCATGGTGGAAATCAAGCTGTTTCCATAGACTTCATCTATTATATAAAAGGAAAAAGAGGAAGATGGAAGCATTCACAAATCAGATCCCAATTATAGCTCAGTCATTTCTAGCTTATTCTATAAGTAGTAGCTGCTATATAACTGCAATATGGAATACTCTGAATTCAAACAAATAGTGTTCAGTTATCTGAATTGACAAGCATTTCTACAAAATTGAAAAAAAAATGCTCTGAACAGTTTAAATATCCCCTTGCCCCTCCTGTCAAGTCATATAATATTATAAGAGACTACAATTTAAAAGAGAAATTGAATAGCTGATAAGAGAAATAAATAGCATGACTATTCTTAAGCAGGTTTTGTGGATTAGCAGAGGAAAAAAATTATATATGTCATTCTAATGATTTTTTTCCCATGAACAAGAGATGAAGTTTAAGGCTGATGTTAGACAACAGCAGATTGACAGTAGAACTTCTGTGCATCTTAAAATGAGCTATTTCTAATACAATACATGATATTTGCATAAGGAATCCATGCACAACATGGCTCTCTCACAACAACTAGAACTGGAATCTAAGAACCGCCAACTCAAAACTCTGTACCTGCTTTTCCATCTGTCTTAGGATCCATGATGACAAACTCAGGCCTGAGTTTACTAATTCGACGACCTTTCAAGATAGGCACCAGACCACCCAAATATTCTAAATACAATGTATAGCAAGGACCTCCAACTTCTGGGTCATCTTCTGTCCGCTTCATTGTACAGTGAAGCCTTTCATTGCCAGATGTTGGGTAACTAACAAAATCTCGCATATTGTTAGGGTCTGGGATAGGAGGCTGGGTTAAATGTAGAATAAATAAAAAAGTCATACCAGTCATTCTCTCACCACCTTTCTATCATTCAAGAAGACCTGCTCAATGTCACTCTGAATTTTGCACATACTTCAAACTAATATGATTAAGCCTATGACCTTATTCAGTTGTAATGAAAGCTTTGTTGTATGCAAAACTGTAATAACCAACAGTGGTGTTAGATAAGTGGAGCTTTTTAAAGCAGTTCCTGTAAAAGCCAAGCACAAAGGTTTTATGATTCAGCTAGGAGATGAGCTACATTAATGGTTATGCAGGTTACTAAACTAAGCATTGCTTTGATTTCTTCTTATGAGACTTTGAATCTAGGCCAATGAATTAAGTGGAAATTGCTCTCAAATAAAGGCAGGGAAGAGAAGTGGCACTTTAACAGGAGGTCTTAGCCAGTGATATTATAATATCTCCATAACAGGGAGGCCAACTTTCTGGTCTGTTTTGGGGTGGGGGCAGGGGTGAAATGCTCCCGGTTCGGACCAGATCGCCCGATCCAGTAGCGATGGCGGTGGGTGGTTTGGAGAACCGATAGCAAAAATCCCTGCCCCCCCCCCATGCCCAGCTGAACCGTGCAATCATCAGAGGCTTTTTAAAATTATTTTTAAAAGCATTTTTTCTACAATCTCTTTGGACAAAAAAATGCTTTTAAAAGTAAAAAAAAAAAAGCCTCTGATGATCGCATAGCTCAGCTGGGATCATCAGAGGCTTTTAAAAGCATTTTTTTAAAAAACTGGTTTTAAAAGTAAAAAAAAAAAGTTGGCCACGCCCACCCAGTCACATTACCCCACCACCAAGCCACGCCCACAGAACCGGTAGTAACAAATTTTACATTTCACCACTGGGGAGGGGAAGGGTATTTAAGGGGTAGAACTGATGTCTTCATTCAAGCCATAAAATCATTTTGCCACTTGAATAGCAGAGGAAAAAAATAAGCCTGATCTAGGCTATTGATTTTTAAAATCTCCTCCAACATGCAAATGAAGTTTTAAAAAATTAGATTCCTCCTTACCCCAGGAATGCTTTGAGGTCAAAATATGGGTGCTTGTGAAATACATACAGGCTGTGAGTCACCCACCACTGTTGTCAAATATTGCTGTCTTAATCTACAATGTGATTTCTGTAATTTATTTTTTTAATGTCAGTCCCTTCTATAGTTTAAACTAGACCTATCTTCCATTCTATGCTATGCTATGCTATGCTATGCTATGCTATGCTATGCTATGCTATGCTATGCTATGCTATGCTATGCTATACTTCATGCCATACTATACTATATACACCCTAGCACTGATGATGTTACCTAGACTGGTAATGAAATATCTGCAAGAAAACAAATAAGGTCAGAGAGCTTATTTGGACCCCACATACTAATTTTGACAGGTTTATCACCCCACCATTTGTTTACCTTGATTGTTGGTGTAAAGGCAGTGGTTAGGTATGAACAAAGCCGAGGAGGCAGGGTTAATTTACTGATATCTTTGTCGTCTCTCAAAGAGCTGGCTATTGTTTGTTGGCACAGGAGCTGTAAGCTGGACACTCGGTGCTCTACTCGGACAACATACAGGGCAGGGCCAGAAGCCATGAGCAGACGTGAGTCCCTATGACCCCAGCAAATTGAGATTATGGGGCGCTGTGTGAAAAAAATATTTTTTTAGACTTTTCTGTATCAATGAATCATATTTTAAAGATTTTTTAGTAGGATGTATTTTATTGTCCATATGCCTTTCCACATGAGGTATGTTCAAGTGTATATATCTTTCTAAGGCTCTATTATTCTAGGACTCTATTACTATCTTCAATTGCTAGGATAGGATATTAGTCCACCACTGGAAGCCTTCTTATCATTCCAATCTTTTCTCCATTTTATTAACAATAGTGAACAATAGTTATTAACACTAGTTAAATAAGTCACAATGATTCTGTGTAATTCGTAATACGGTGATTCGTATCTGCACTATCATGCTAGCAATTTTTCTATTTGAGAATATATGTTGGGATTTTTTTTAACCTTCTTCCTCAGGTCATGCTCTTCAGCATAACTCTTACCTGTACAGGGGTCTCCAACGTGTAGATGTGTTCTCCATGAATATTGTAGAACTTGACGAGTGCACTTTTCAGAAAAGAAGCAGCGTTAAGTTCGGCCAGTTGGCTAAGTTTTTCCATGCCTGCTACGGCCAGCAAGTCTCCTTGCGTGCACCACTGAGCCACTACATCTAAAACCACAAAACAGCAGAAACTTAGCAAATAGATCCTCTCATAAGTGACTACATTTATCCTAGACTCATCTTCCCCACAGGAATGTTTAAGAGGGCTGCCACTAATCAAGAAATAAGCAAAACAGCATATGAATGAACATTATGAAAGTAACAGTAACAGTCCATTCGCCAAAATTATTCTTCCTGTCTTATCCTACATGTTGAGGCAAGCCTTTCAACCACCATGGGACAATTTTTGAAGCATTTCACTTGACAGAAAGTCTGGATTTAGACATCATTCGATTCATAAGCCATGATTGCTAAACCACAATAGTTGGGTTCATGAATCAGGCTAGGCCACCCCCACATTGTGTCCTTATGTTTGCATGAAGAAAAAGGATCGTGGAAAAGATATAAATTTGACTTCATCTTAGTGACAGTTAATTAAAACTGTTAATGTTATCTATTCTCCAATCACATATTTTCCCCTTCTATCATCTTAAAATAACCATTGTTAACAACTTTAGGTAGTGTGAGGGAAATAAGAGTCAAAGATTTTGAGAGGCTGAATAACTGAGCTGAGTCCAGGATATTGAGCCAACAGATTGGGGTGGGGGGTGGGGGGGGTTTACAAATAGCAACAAAACTAGCAACCATTTTATGGTTAACTTTTCCTTTTTGATAGGTAGGTGTCACTATAGCTAGGAGAAAATATGCAGACAGTTACTGAGCTTCAGGAAACAAATGCTGTCAAAACAATCAAAATTAAAGCAAACAAGTAACTTCCCTTTTGTACCTTTTAACCCTGAGCGGATGGTGGTAGGAGATAAATCATCGTAGTTGTTCATTAAGCTAATATCTCCTGATGTGAAGCTGACAGTGAGAAGCTGTTTGGTGTTCTGAACCAGGACTGGATATACCGCTGGGCCATCTGCAAGGTAAAGTTAGAAAGAAAAATAGATGTTTCCAGGTCCACATGAAAGTCCCGATAGGACTTTAACTGCAGAGTTTCCCAGAAATAAGCCCATCCTCCTTCCAGGATGGTCTGTAATGTTAATGTCACAGTCTTAATACTGATCCTTCAATGACCCATTGTAATCCAAGTTTTCTCTTCCTTAACCCAGTGCCTTCCTGATAAACTAGACTAGGTAAAGGTAAAGGTTTCCCTCGCACATATGTGCTAGTCATTCCCCACTCTAGAGGGCGGTGCTTATTTCCGTTTCAAAGCCAAAGAGCCAGCGCTGTCCAAAGACATCACTGTGGTCATGTGGCCGGCATGACTAAACGCCAAAGGCGCACGGAATGCTGTTACCTTCCCACCAAAGAGGGTCCCTATTTTTCTACTTGCATTTTTAACATGCTTTCAAACTGCTAGGTTGGCAGAAGCTGGGACAAGTAATGGGAGCTCACCCCATTACGTGGCACTAGGGATTTCAAACCCCTGAATTGCCGACCTTTCGATCGACAAGCTCAGCGTCTTAGCCACTGAGCCACTGCGTCTACAATGGAGGGTACAATCTCCATTAACCTCACCCCATATGCTGCATCAGGATATTGCCATTATCACTAGGTTGGAGAAGACTGGCTCACTCCTCCGTTAGAGGCCTTGTTGTAAGCACTCTAAAGGGACTCTTGCCTTTTGGTCTAACTACTAGTTGAGAAAGTTGCCACATTTTGTAAAAACTAGATTTATCTTATTTATTTATTGGCTTGTTTGATGACTTGATGGAAGTCCTGCCTCCACTTAAAAGTATATTTCACAGCATGACCAGAGTCCCCTACACTCTGTAAACGGATCACATTGATCCAGGAAGTTATGAAGACTTCTACCCATGTGGTGCAGCTGCATAAATCTGCTTGTAAACTTTTGACACCAGAAAACTTTCCAAAACACAATATTTCGCTCACAGAGCTTGGAAACAAGCCAATAAGTGCCATGAAGTATTTGCCTCTACCAGGCTGACACGTAGAAAAAAGGAACTGACTTGGGCCAATAGAGAGGCATAGTATGGAGTGCCAACTATGCTAAGAGGGGAAAAAAAGTCTGAAATATTTGAACTATTCCCACCAGTATCCAAAGATTACCAACAAGAAGCTAGTGGACCAGACCTGGCTCTTGAAGCAACACTATTTATGACTCCCATGTTTCATAATATTTTGATGAGCATATGAAAAAAAAATCCTGTTGCATTTCAATTATGAGAGAAAGCAGCATATTCTTTTAGTCAAAGTTTCTTTCAATACTAATTCATCAACGTTCGGGAAATGAAAAAAAAATAGGAGAGGGGACAATTCATTTCTCAAGTACTGCAGATCCGAAACCTCTTAAAATTGAAATATTCATCTTTCATACTTAAGGAGCCCCTATTTTAAAACAGAACTTGACCATCCATGACCAGGCAGAACAGGATGAATCTTGAGAACCCAAACTACTAAAAAACAATGTCATATTTCTATAAGGCTATTTCTTTGGGGTTCACATTTGTACTTTATATATTTTACATACAACACACAGACACAAAACACACACTATATATTGTATATTTGTAGCACCATCTTCAACACTTACTATATAATTAGTGGCTGCCACTGCATGAGAAAGGTATTCTTCAAACATCACTCTAGATGCATTCTGCTAAGTTGTGGAGAACTGAACACCAGTATCATATAACTGATATTGTTTTATGGATCTAATTCAAGCAACTCCCTCCTACTCTTCTAGTGAGTCAAAACCAGATCAATGGAACACACAATGCTTCATAAGAATATGTCATATTAGCATAATCAATAGAAGTAGGCTTGAACCAAGTTCACCCACTGCTGACTGACTCAGCATGATTTACACACCTGCCAGCTTTATTCTTCTACAGCAAGGTACATGGCTCTGTAAAGCAATCTCAGAACGAACCTCCTGTCCTAATTTATTATAAACCAGAAGTTTTCCAATGAAAGGAAACAGCAAAGTTGGGAGCAGCAGCCTGTTTCCATAGATTCATCTGGTGATGCCATAAATAGTAGAGTTTGCATGCTCAAAATGAAAACCAAATCCTTGGTTGTTTTTTTTTTTTCTCTTTTGCTTTTTCTCTTTGGCCTTGGGAAGGAAGTTGTTTTCTCTTACTTGATAGGATATGGGCAGAATAAGACACCTTGACTTTGATATTTCATGGAGGTAGAGTGGCTCTGTTTTAATTGGCCACTTCGTCCTGCTAGCAAGAATTCTGAACTCATAATGGAAGCCCCTGTTACTTAGAGAAGTGAAGCATTTGTTCCCCCTCCCCTCAAGAGAAGTGGGACACTATTTTGCCAAGTCACTTCAGTAGACCTCTTCTAAAATGTGCATAATTCTAAGGGCCATCTTTTAAATTTGGTTTCAATCAACTCCTTTTTCAATTCAGGATGCAATTGTGTTTATTATAGTGGTGAGAGATAGGGATCCAGGCTAAAATATAAGACCCTTCAAAATTCTGAGTACTGAAAGGCAATTACTTAAAATAACCTCTCATACTGTAGCTTCTTAGCTTGAAGGGACATAATATAAAGCAATCTGGGGATCTGAGATAATTCACTTAAGAAACTTTGATTTCAGAAAGATCCCACAGATGATGGAAGATCCTCTTTGGGACACCTCTAAAATAAATGTATCAGGAAGAGCAAGAAATTGTTTTAACTGAGGAAAATGCTATTTTTCTCAGGATAAGGACCATTGGAGTTGAACGTCAGGATGTAAGCACAGCTAAGACCAACCAAGTAGCTAGGGCAGAATCTAACAATTATTTCCATCTATCTAATAATATTATCCTACCACCACATTAAAAAATGACTAAATTTTGTTATTTTTTTTTTTTTTGCTAGAACTCTGAGACCACACCCATGGCTTTAGGGGGTTGCACATACTCCTGCTTTAATTGTTTCACTGGTTGAAAGTAAGTTGGAATAGCTTAAGGAAGGCTGGCAGCTAAAGATTATCTCTTTCTACTTCCCTTTTGATAAACAAGGAAATCTGGTAATTAATAGCAGTCAAGCTACAGATTAGTTTTTAAAATAAGTAAAGTACTTGCCCTTTTGAAATCTGTGCTTATTGTCTTGTGTTTTGGTTCTGAGAATAGCAAATCATGGAAGAACTGATAATGTGAGTTAATCTAGCTGTTCAATGGCTTCAGACAAACAATTCCTTAGTTTTGTGCTTTTGACTGGAAAATGTGTCTAATTAAGCAAAGTATGCACGCAATGTACAATGTGCAAATTCAATCCTCAGCAATGATGTGGAAGAAATGTAAAAATCTAGTTAATATACAAATTATGCCACTCTGTTTGCAGATGTCTTAAACATTCAAAGGCCTTGTTCAAAAAATAATGCAAAAATAAGGTTTTTTAAAACATCATTAGAATTATTTAGAAGAGGAGACAGATGCCAAAATATTGCTATATCCAAATATAAGAAGATACCTTATGAACTAGAATTAAAAGAATTTCAAAAGAAAAATACAAATACAAGAATAATTCACAAGGTGTTATTCCTCAATAACCAATATCCAGCAGCATATTGCTTTTGATCTTAGGGGAATCAAAGTAGTATGATTCCAACTAGTAAACTTTTGATAGTCTGATTTTCCCCAAGTTTGTAGTATTCATGTCAGGGTTTCAAAAAACACCCCCAATTAAATAAAACTCCAAGGTAATAGATTCCTCAAAGTTCCACTTTATTAGAGATGTCATGTTGGCACATCTGGGAAAACCAGAATCTGAAAGCTTCCAGGTTTTCCCCACCCAGTTGAAAGTTCACAACCCTGCTCCACACCCACAAGTTCATCACATGGTCCAATCCACCCTTCAGGCTCAACTGGAAACAATCCCCCGTCACTCCCATCCAGGTGCAGGCAAATGTCCTTGACTCCCAGAGCAAGGAATGTTGTTATGGCTACGCCAACAAAAAAAAACAAAACCCTCCCAAATTCCCAGGCTAAAATATGTGGCGGTCAGGAAGCTAAAAGAAAAAAATGGCTTCCAAACTGACAATTCATCTTTAAACTCATATAAATTGGTGGCAATGTCCAGCAAACTCCAGTTTATCTATGCATTTTTCATCGAATATTTTTGATTCATATAATATACTCAAAGAGCTCTACAGAATTTGGAAATCTTTTCACTTGTTATGAAGATGTGTTGACTCCTGAAAATAAATCAGAGGTCTATAGAGTACTTTTTAAATCAAGTTTGCTGATCTCTGACTAGAAGATGACTATGGATTCTAACTGAAGCTATAGTGCCAAAAAGTATGGGTATTGTTGTGGCCCACTCGGACGATGAGGAGGTTGGGTAAGAACTTGGGCCAGTTCTGGAGCCTGGGGAAGGCTCTGATGGATGCTCAGCATCGGACACAGAGATAGAGCCAAGGCCATCCAACATTTCCCAGCCAGGGAGGCAGCTGCTTTGGACTCAGAGATGAGGGAGGAGAAGGAACAGCTGGGGCCTGTTCCAGATGCACGTATGTGCAGAGCAGATAGGAGAGGTGAACAACGGAGGATAATGAGCCGGTTCGGGAAACAAAACAAACATGGATGCTAACTGGCTGGGGAATAAACAGGAGGAAAGGGGAGTGGTTTGGTTGTCACAGACAACCATTCGCATTACTGGAAATTTTGCTCCTTGTGTGTTTCGTGCGACAAAGACTGCCTTGCCAAAACTGAGGTTTGTCTATTTCTCTGTTTGAACTGCCTTAATTTTCAGCCTCCCGGCTAGGAGCTCACAACCTTGCATTTATCATAACAAGCTGATAAGGACTATTGTTTCAGTTAACGTCTTGCAGGACTCTTGCCTGGACTTTCTGTTGGTGAATGCAGTTAATTCCCAATGTGTAAATAAAGAGGGTTTTTTCATTGCAGGGAATCTGTTTCTTGCTTCTGTGAAGGCCAGGTCAGAACAGGTATGTACACATTCAGAAGGCATGGGTGGGGAAAGAGATAACGCAAAATCTGAGAAGATGCTATTAATTTATAAATCTTCCTGAACCTGGGACTTTCCTGGTGGGTTTGAAACACAATTTCCAGCATTTCCAGCATACTGTAGTCCCAAGATATTTGGAGGGCACTAAGGTGGGGAAGACTGATTTATAACATATCATTATATAGTCAAAAAATACATTACAATATACAAGTAGGACAGTGGTGAAATGTAACATTTGTTACTACCGGTTCTGTGGGCATGGCTTGGTGGTGGGGTGTAATGTGATTGGGTGGGCGTGGCCAACTTTTTTTTTTTTAACTTTTAAAAGCATTTTTTTACAACCTCTTCGGCCGAAGAGGTTGTAGAAAAAACGCTTTTAAAAGTCTCTGACGATCCCAGCTGAGCCGCGCGATCATCAGCGGGGCATGGGGGGGGGGCAGGGATTTTTGCTACTGGTTCTCCGAACCACCCGCCGCCATCGCTACTGGATCAGGCGATCCGGTCCGAACCGGGAGCATTTCACCCCTGAACTAGGAGGTAAATGAGTCATACAGAATGTAATGGTAATTTAGCGTCCCTGGCAAATTTAAAATTAAACTATTCTTGCAGTACAAAATTCCTTCAAATTAATTAACACTCCAGCAAGGATGTGAAAATAAATATATAAATGTTGGAGCACACAATACATTGTTTTACCATCACAGTGAGAAACAGGACAAAAACATACAAACACTGAACTGAAAGAAAAAATGACCTTGTGGTGGGGAATAATCATCTGAATCTGTGTCACTCTCGCTACTGTCTTCCACCAAGAAACTTGGGTAATTCCAAGACATACTAAGGATGCCGTCGGACTCATGAAGAAGAACATGTGCCAGCATTCGGCCATGGCAATCCATAACAATAACCTGACCATCAGCAGTACCAAATAAGACCTAGGAAAAAATATACCATCATTAGTAAAATTATAAAAGAACCAACATTTAAAAGGAATAACTTTCGACCATCTTCTAGCTCAAATAATCTTCAGATAATAAAATGCTGAATAGTCCACATTCATAATGGATACAAGCTAAATGCTGCAAGAATCATCTCTATTGGCCTCAAATAAACTCAGCACTTGAAAAATGCATATTCCCATTAAAGTCTATCCTATCATAAACAAACTTGCATTGCCAAGAGATAATTTTTCTTCCACAAACATTTAATATTTCCCCTTCTGAAGTTTCTTTTTCCTCTTTGCTGTTTATTCTCTCCTTTAGAAGAGAATATTTGTAGATAAGGGTTGAACTGGTGTGTGTGTGTGTGTGTGTCCTTGTGTGTGTTCTCTGAGCTTGTTTGTTTTCTTGCAGATGTTTCATTACCAAACTAGGCAACATTATCAATGCTAGTATAAGGTCCCCACAATTCTCTCCTTTCCTACAGAAGGTTTCTTTCTCCTATTGTTTAACATCCTGTTTTTCTTTCATTTTTTAATATTTGGCCATCCTATACCTTTCCCCCATCATGCTTCTTTTTGAAATTGGAAAAGCCTTCCTGCATGAAATCTAAAATAACACAGTTAGATAAAGGCATACTGTCTGGTGCTTCTGTATTTCTGAAAATTTAGTCCATCCCTTTATGTTGTACATAGTTAAAACACTTCAGGCAAATGGAAACCTGATAACAAAATACTAACTAACTGGACATAAGATGTCTGATATAGCATCAATTAATACAGTAGATTATGGTTTTTAAGCACAATAGAAACTTGACCAATCAGCAACCAATTGTGCATCTCCCTGCAGGAAAGTTTATGGGAAATAATCATGTGAAACTGGAATGGCATAGGAAAACTACAAGCTAAACAATCACAAATAAAGGAACGTTTCCACCCACAATGTCAGTTCCTAAAGGGATAAAGCACAGCTTTTATTTTGTTTGTTTTTTAGCAATTAATATACATCATGCCTCAAACAATATCTCCCCATCAAGCTTCTTTTGTTTTCCAATGTGTTGTGAAAGCTATCCTTTGCACATTTTCCTTGATTTTGGAGCACATATAACATACTGCACAAGAGAGAACACATGTGAAAAAATACACAGGCTGACTTAAATCACAGCATCATCCACTTTCACAGGCGTTTTCACAGGTTGTAATATAGACTTCATTTGTACTGAATTTTGAAACCTAAATATATTCCAGGGGCTGTTCAAGGAAACTAAAGAGATAGGATTCTGACTTCTATAACACACTGTCCAATTCGTCTTATAGAACAAGCAACGTTCATTACTTATTGCTAAAAATGCTGAAGGATTCTTCAAAGATCAGTAATGTCATTAGCAATGCTCAATTAACAGCACCAAAGAATTATTAGAGAGGCAACCTGATGTAGTGGTTAAGGCGTCAGGCTAGAAACTAGGGCACTATGAGTTCTAGTCCCACCTTGAAGTCATGAAGGCATGAAGTCAGCTAGTTACTCTCTCTCTCTCAACCCTAGGAAAGAGGCAATGGCAAACCACTTCTGAAAAACCTTGCCAAGAAAGCTGCACTAGTCTAGGCAGTTGCTAGTGTCTAGACCCAAACACATAACAACAACAACAAAATTATAAATCAATTGCTGTTGCTATTATTAGCTTGACGTGTGCTCTTATTGTTTTGATGGATTGTTTTATTGCAATGTTTTGAACAAACAGTATATTTCATATTTGGGAGATCCTAATGACATAATGTAATCTTGTGCATTATTCTCTGGGAGTGATAATAATAGGGTTTACTTCTAGGTAAACATGCAAAAACATGCCAGGAGCCTTGGTAGTACAGTGGTTTAATGCACCCTGTTATTAACACAGCTGCCTGCAATTTCTGCAGGTTCGAATCTCACCAGGCTCAAGGTTGACTCAGCCTTCCATCCTTTCTAAGGTAGGTGAAATGAGGACCCAGGTTGTGGGGGCAATAAGCTGACTTTGTATAAATATACAAAAGTATGAAGTCTATTGCTTAACGCATTATAAGCCGCCCCGAGTCTCTGGAGAAGGGCGGCATATAAATCAAATTAAAAAAAAAATATGTTTCACTGTGTAGCTATCCAACCTTGGAAAGGAAGAAACAAATAAAGATATTAGCCTAAATCAATGCTGAGAGGTATAATTTTAGATCTACATCTATGCTCCCTTCTGAGTCATTCAACCCTACAGGGTCACTGACAATTCTATGTTATTCTGGCTTCTCTGGGTACTGTATAATTAGCATGCTTGTGGTATTGTAACTGCCTTTCTTTGAGCCTGATAGGTAGGTAGAGGTGTATTCAAACTTCTACTTTCTCAGTGACTTCTGCATTAAATAGGAGGTATTGACTCATTAAAAATCATTATTTTTAACTGTACTGTACTAAGTCAGTAATTCTCCAAATGTGAGATAGGAAGTACAGTACAGCTGACAGGGGAGGTGGGAGAAGCCCATTCAGGACCACTAGGAGAAAGGCTTTTGCTCATAATCGAACTCTACTTGGGAAGTGACTTTCCGTGAAAAACAGTGAAAAACAATAAGCTTTCTTTTGTGTTATTGTTTGATTACAGATACAGGGTCAAAAAACTAAAGAAGAATCTCTATTCTTGCCCAGCCTAGAGAATGTTCCCCTCCTGTGATCAGAAAAGGATTTATAAACTTTATCTGATTCCAATCCAAGTGCATCCATCAAGATCCCATTTACCATCCCAGTCTCTCAAAATCCATTGCTTGGATTTGGCTAAGGCTTTTTAAGGCCACCTTCTTAGTTTAAGAGAAAAAGAGGCTTTTCTTCACATTTTGCACTTGATATGAGCAGCCATTTCAAACAAACATGGATGGCTATTGATCCAGGCAAATGTTGATGGCCAATGATCAGGCCTATTATAACCTGGGGATTATAAGTGCTTCTTTGAGTGAGGGCGCCTTTCCCGCCGCCTTGAAAAAGGCAGTGGTGAGGCCCCTCCTCAAGAAGCGTTCCCTGGACCTGGCTGAATTAGCTAACTACCGTCCGGTCTCCAACCTTCGTTTTGTGGTGAAGGTTGTTGAGAGTATGGTGGCACGACAGCTTCCCCGGCACCTGGATGAAGCTATCTATTTGGACCCGTACCAGTCGGGCTTCAGGCAGGGGTACAGCACAGAAACAGCATTGGTCGCGTTGGTGGATGATCTCTGGAGGGCTCGGGACAGGGGTTGCTCCTCTGTCTTGGTCCTATTAGATCTCTCAGTGGCTTTTGATACCATCGACCATGGTATCATGCTGCAGCGGTTGAGGGGGTTAGGAATAGGGGGCACCCATCTGCGGTGGTTCTCCTCCTTCCTCTCCGACCATTCGCAGTTTGTGTTGGCAGGGGGGCAGAGGTTGACCTCGAGGCGCCTCGCATGGGGAGTGCCGCAAGGGTCGGTCCTCTCACCCCTTCTGTTCAACATTTATGTGAAGCCGCTGGGTGAGATCATCCGTGGTTTTGGGGTGAGAGTACATCAGTACACTGATGACACTCAGCTGTACATCTCCACCCCAGACCACCCCAATGATGCCATTGATGTGATGTCTCGCTGTCTGGAGGCCGTGCGGGTCTGGAGGGGAGAAATAGGCTCAGACTCAACCCTTCCAAGACCGAGTGGCTGTGGCTTCCAGCGTTCCGATATAGTCAGCTGGTGCCATCGCTGACTATTGGGGGTGAATCTCTACCCCCCACAGAGAGGGCTCGCAATCTGGGTGTCCTCCTGGACGCACGGCTGTCTTTAGAAGAGCATATGACGGCCGTGGCCAGGGGGGCTTTTTATCAGGTTCACCTGATCTGCCAGTTGCAGCCCTTTCTGGACCGGGACGCCTTGCGCATGGTCACTCACGCCCTTGTCACCTCCCGGCTGGACTACTGTAATGCTCTCTACATGGGGCTCCCCTTGAAGAGCACTCGGAGGCTCCAACTGGTCCAGAATGCGGCCGCGCGGGTGGTTATTGGCACAACTCGTTGTGCCCACGTGATACCCCTCCTGCGCGAGCTGCACTGGCTCCCAGTGGTCTTCCGGGTGCGATTCAAGATACTGGTTACCACCTTTAAAGTGCTCCATGGCATCGGACCTGGGTACCTTCGAGACCGACTTCTGCCACCAATAGCCTCCCACCGGCCAGTTCGCTCCTACAGAGAGGGTATCCTCACGGTGCCATTGGCCAAGTTATGTCGGCTGGCGACACCCAGGGGGAGGGCCTTCTCTGGGGGAGCCCTTGCCCTGTGGAATGAACTGCCTCCGGAAATGCATAAGATCTCCGACCTCCAGGTATTTCGCTGTGCCCTCAAGACCCTGCTGTTCCGCCAGGCCGGGCTATCAATGTAATGATTTTAAATTGGGTGTTTTAAATTTGGGGTTTTAAATCTGAGCCGAAATTATTTAATAATTTTAATTATTTTTAAATTGATGTCTATCTTTGTGCTTTTAATAGGCTGTACACCGCCCTGAGTCCTTCGGGAGAAGGGCGGTATAGAAATAAAATATTATTATTATTATTATATTATTATTATTATTATTATTATTATTATTATTATTATTATTATTATGTAAGAAGCATTCTTCTGGATTCACTCTCCAGTGCTATGCACATTTATTCAGGTGGAAATCCTACTCCAAGCAAATTCTTCCTGAGTAAATGTGTACAGCTATGATTCACTGTACGTTTGTGCCATTCCACTCATCTTTGAAAGTTAGGTGAAGGAAGGGGACCTGCTTGAAAAAAACTGGGACTAAATATATAAAAATGTTCCTCAACCTAGCACCCTTCGAACAGTATACCAAATTGTAGTTCAATACATCTGGAGGACACCAGGTTGGAATAAGTTGGAATGTAGGGAGGTTTTCACATTGTGATAACATCCTTATATTTGTGGCTGAAGAAATGGCAGTTTAATATAAACAGTTAAAAGAAGGAAAAAGAATCCAGAGACTAGCTTTATTTCTTTTTCATTTCATTAATCATATCGTGCAAGCTCATAAACATCAAGCATGGAAGGAATGAGTGTTCTCTGTTTTTATAATTCATAACGATTTAAAAGCCAGCATTAAAATGTTTCAACGTTCTAAATATAGAAAGAAAACCATTTACTGTAGCTAATGCAGAATGTGAAACACTGAAATAATACATGCACAAAAAAGCATCAGCAAACAGAAATCATTATATTGAAATAACAAAAAAAATGACACAAATAACAACAAACGCTTTCTACAATAATTCAAAACATTATATGTTGGTAACTTGATATCTCTTATTTACACAAACAAGAGGTCTTTTTGTTAAACCTGAACTTTCTAGACAATTCCATTATTGGTCATAATGGAGCTACTCTTTAACTAGAGCAATTTAACTCTTGCTGCCACTCTACACATATTAAACATACTGTAATTAATCACAAATTCTTTTTTGCTATTCTGTGTTTATTTTCTATTCTGTGTCATAGCAATTAAAACACTGTAGTTTATATTGGAAGAAATACTATATTCGAAAATGCAGCTTATAAACCCACTTTGAACATAGGAAGAAGAAAACCAGCATTTCTTGTTACTATCACTAGTAACAAGATCCACAAAAAAGATCCAAGGTCTCTCAAGCTGGACAGCCAGCTGATGTTGCTGGCCATGATATTTTAAAGGTTCCGGTAAGGAGAAGCTTATAGTAAAGATACATGAGGAAAATTAGAGAGTAACCTCCCATTCCTTTGTACAACAACAGAATTAAATGATTTAAACTTGTATATATATTTTACATATATAAATTAGATGCAGTAGATTTTGCATCTCAATAACACATATTTTAAGAAATTGAGACAACCAGCTTTCACAGTTAGCTCATTCATTAAAGCTCTGAAAAGTCACGACACTCTGCTCCTGCATTTTGAATCTTCCCAAATTCTGTTGTGCTCAAAATAATATTTTCTCTATCTTCAGCTGCACCTTCATCTGCGATCGAGCTGAAACATCTGTTGCACAGAGGCTATTCTAAAGTATCTGGTTTTGTGTCAATATTTCAATAGCAATTTTCTCCTACATTTATACAGGCTGCAGCGGATTTTTAAGAGATTATATTGTATTAATGTAACAGGGGCCAGAGAAGTAAGGATGTATTTCACTGATTAAATCTGATACTAATACCAAAGCAAGCTAGCAAATTTGTGTTCTGAGCTTAACATTCTCAATTCATTGAGAGCTAGATAGAATTGTAGCCGGACAGAACTCTGAAGTCACCAAGAATTTTCTGATCTTGTATCTAACAAGATACAAACTGGTTCAGCCAAAGCAATGGGAACATTTTTTTTCTCTCTGTCTCGGCATCAAAATGAAAAGCTAAGAGTGATGTAAATAAAAGATTTGATGGCATTCGCAGTCATAATGAAATTGTTGCCATTACTGTCACCATTATAGGTAGTCCTCGACTTATGACTACAATTGAGCCCAAACTTTTTGTTGATAAGTGAAACAAGTGAGCTTTGCCCCACCTTACAACCATTCTTGCCACAATTGTTAAGTGAATCATTGCAGTGCTTAAGTGAGTTATATGGTTGTTAAATTAATCTGGCTTTCCATTGGCTTTGCTGGTCTGAAAGTCACAATAGGGGATCACAGGACACTGCGACCATCATAAATATGAACCGGTTGCCAAGCGTTTGAATTTTGATTACGTGACCTTGGAGATGCCACAATGGCCGTGGCATTGTGAAATGCCAGTGTGAAAACCAATCATAAACTCACTATTTTCAGTGCCATTGTCACTAAATGAACTGCTGTAAGTTGAGGACTACCTGTACATAGTTGGGTTGTGATGTCTGATGCAAGTATGTCGGTCATAGCATTTGCATGATGATGTCATTACATCCTTATATTTGTTACTCCTGCCTTTGTTCCTACGGATTCCCATGGCTAGTATTGTATTTATACTTCTTTAAATTATTTTGCTGTGGATAGTACACTTGGGATAATATGAATTGATCGATTTTCAAAGCTTTTAAAATAGCACCTGAGTCCACCAACATATTTGCCAGTTCACCTACGACTATGACATAATCTGCTGAGCTCAAAGGGATCGAAGCACACAGTTAGCCATACTGAAGAAGACATATTGCCATGGCTTGACTAAATATGTCCACAACTCTCGAGCAACTTTAAACATTCTATGCAGATCACGTTGATGTATACAGGAAGGTTTATAAGCACACCGTTGGTATTATCATGAAATACTTTTGTATTGCATTATATACCTGAGAAACCCAAATAGATCTAATGTCTTCCAGTTTGATGTATAGTAAAAACCAATAGTTAACAACAAAAGACAAACTGCAATTCTTGCTTTTGGGGGCGGAATTACCTGTTGATCATCAGGTGTCCATATGCCACAGGTGATCTGACTCTCCAGGTTAATCTCTGAAGACCAATGTCTTTGTCCACTGACTGATCCAACCAGCACAAATCCATCTCTGTATGATATAAGTGCTTGTGTTCCATCATGGCTCCATGTAAAATCGCTCACCTTAACATATAAGGTTAGGCGTTATTTTGACTATGTATTCCAGCCTTTTTTTAAAAAGCACACAACATAGAAAAATAAATACAGATTCAATCAATAAGCATCCATATTTTCTGAGATCTCTAGTTCACAAGATCATCAAATTTCTCATAAAAAGGCCCACAAGTAAGCATCTTCAGTGCCCATAATTTTGACAAGGCTATCATATTGTATCGTTTTATAATTCAAGCCCTGTTTTGGCCGGCAGAGTGCTGCAGGAGGCTGTCCAGGCCGAAAACAGAGCATGTTTTGTGTGCCAGAGACACTCCGGCCGGTCCTTTGCTATTTCCAGCCCAGCCCTTTGGGCCAGATTTAAGCACCACGCGGGCCTTGAGTTTGACACCTGTTTTACTCCAACCCCCTGCTCAGGCAGGAATCTATTTTTATTTTCTATTATTATGATTATTGTTTTGTTGCCCTGCTTTATTGTTACTATTTATATAAGTATTGGATTATAAGATTGTAGCGTGCATGTGTTAAGGTGTATTATATATTCTCTGTAAGCCACTGAGAGTCTTGATTGTGGCAGCATAGAAATAAGTTTAATAAATACATTAGTTTTGATATTGATAATTGATCTCCTGGTTTAGCAATTAGTTGTTATTCTACTATGCTAGAATCTATAGCCTAAATACCATAATGAGAAATAAAATGTATGAACTCACCCTGTATGAGTTCACTAACATATGCTAGGATTACTATCACAGCTGCCTGTAATGTTATTGTTGCTTGGAATGGTAATTACTTAAAACTCAAGTAACAAAAGAGCCATTGGTATTAATGATTGATCAATTATTGTTTAGAGAAAAGTTATCAATGGCCTGTAGGTAGATCCATATCAGTGGTGGGTTGCCCCCGGTTCGGACCGGTTCTATAGAACCGGTAGTAAAACCGGAGGGAGGCTCCGCCCACCCACCCTGATGTCATCAGCATGCGCGCAGCCCCGTTGCGAACCGGTAGTAAAGGTAAGTAGAACCCACCCCTGATCCATATAGACAGAATGGAAACAACGTTAAGACTCCAAAGCTATATCTAGTACACTCAGCCTCTTGCTCCATTTGTCCTTGTGGTAATTCACCTATAAGCATTTGTTTCAAATCGTATTCCAGAAATAGCATACTGTCCTTTTGCTACTTGCCTCAGGGTAAGCTATAGAAAATATGCTAATTTTACAGGCTTTTCAGTTAAAACATTTCTCATAACAATTCCATTTTCCTACTTTCCCCAGGCAGTTTTTCCCCTTCTTTATTTTCTTTTCAAAGTCAAGACAATTCCCAAAACCAAACCAAGTGGTGTTTACTAACCTGTGCTCCACGATCATTCACAAGCTCCACAGACCATCTGCCTTCATACTGAATCCAAACAAATATTCCACCATCAGCATCACAAGTTGCCAGCTTCTGGAAGGGTTCGTTCCATCGCACGAGAACCACCTAATATTTCAGAAAACACATTTTTCCCCTCAAATTTTATTCTGGATGCCAACAGACAGTTTATTAGAACTTCAATTGTTATGAATAGAATAAATAAATAAATAAATAAATAATAGGTTTTAAATTAGGATTTCAAAAATTATAAATGTTCACCATAAACATTCTGAAAACATAACTAAGAATATTCTGAAAACGCAACTAAGAATATTCATTAACACAAGTGTAATATAGTTCAACTCTCTCCAACACTTTAAAATGGAAACTAAATAACTTTTTAAAATATGTATCTTTTTTTCATCTCAATTATTTCTTCAGAGCTTTAATCAACTTCTTTTGTAAGTCCAATAAAAACTCCTTATCCAAGTCAATTTCTTGGCTTGTCATTCATATTTCCAATTTAGTTGTTTTCTGTTTCAGAGTCCATTTTTCAGTACTTCTGCAAATTCTTTATGTTCTGGTATTTCTGATTCAGGCAAAATTTGTTTTATCTCTTTACCGTGTAAATCTTCATGATGTTCTCTTTCACATCACTAATTTCTGCTTTAATGTCTTTGGGACATAATCTATTCATAGAAGCATGCATTATTGCTAAGATTAAAGCTACTATTTTTTGTCCCCATTCTTCAAACATCTCCTGAAGTATTTTAAATGTCAAAGTGTTTTCTGTCATTTTTCAAGTTCCAAGGCTGACCAAAGGCAAGAGTCAGGCTTTTTTTTCACTTTTTTCTCCTTTCCCTTTCATCCTGAAATCATTAGTCCCCTCTAGTGTTCTATTTCTTAAATCATAAAGTCTCAAATTTCTGTTTGGATTTAGGATAGACTACACAAATGTGTTCCCATGAAAATGTTATTTATATAATTATTTCTAATATCTTATGTCAAAAATCCAAATAGTCCATTTGTAATGGAATGAGTTACTGGGATGCGGTGGCTCAGCGGCTAAGATGCTGAGCTTGTCGATCAAAAGGTTGGCAGTTCAGCAGTTTGAATCCCTAGTGCCGCGTAATGGGGTGAGCTCCCGTTACTTGTCCCAGCTTCTGCCAACCTAACAGTTCGAAAGCATGTAAAAAATGCAAGTAGAAAAATAGGGACCACCTTTGGTGGGAAGGTAACAGTGTTCCATGCACCTTTGGCATTTAGTCATGCTGGCCACATGACCATGGAGATGTCTTCAGATAGCGCTGGCTCTTTGGCTTTGAAACGGAGATGAGCACCGTCCCCTAGAGTCGGGAACAACTAGCACATATGTGTGAGAGGAACCTTTACCTTTACCTTTTTAATGGAATGAGTGGACAACTTTAGGAAAAGCAGGGAAGAGATGTTGCCTATGAAACAATCAGACTAGAGAGTCAAGATCCCCTAGCAGCTTAATGGTAGAAAAGGAAACTTAGAAAGAATCTGCCCTAATGGATCAAAAACTTTAAGAAGTGGTAATAGAAAGTTTGCACTTTCCAACTTTTAAGGTTCTGTTAATGTAGCATTACCATAATTAGAATTAGTTCATCTAATTAGTTCATCTAGTTGTGTTTCCTATCTGGTCTAACTGGGACAGCTAACAATTACTCCAAGTTTGTCTGATCCTTTTATTTGTTTACAGATATTTCTCACTTAACTACCATAATTGGAACTGGAATGTCAGTTAAGCTTCTTTGCTCAATGACAGCAATCCCAGCACTTCTGGTTGCAGTCATTTAGGAATCTACTGTACTCTGGATAAACCAGAACAAGAAAACATCTCCACAGGAGGGCTGAAACTATTATATTGAGATTAGGTTTAATAATCAAATCTTGCAAGTCTGACTGAGATAACTGTGTAATAGTGTTATTGCTCCTACTTGAACAGGTGTGTCTAGAGTAACAGCTTAATTTAAGAGCCGTGGTGGCACAGTGGTTAGAATGCAGTATTGCAGGTTAATTCTGTTGACCTGCTGGCTGTCAGCAGTTTGATCCTCACCAGCTCAAGGTTGACTCAGCCTTCCATCCTTCCGAGGTCGGTAAAATGAGGACCCAGATTGTTGGGGATAATATGCTGACTCTGTAAATTGCTTAGAGAGGGCTGTGAAGCCCTGTGAAGCGGTATATATGGTAAGTCTAAGTGCTATTGCTATTGCTAGATGGTGGTTATGATACCCACAGGCACTTCATTACAGATGACCAGTCCTTTCCTGGTCATCCATTGGTTCAGGGAGTGCTATCTTCAATATGCAGATGATATTCAATTACACATCACTGGGCCAGATGAGAGAACTGGGAAAAACCATGAACAGGTATCTGGAGTATGTGGATGGGAAAGTGTGTGCAGAAATGCAGAATGTACATCCTTTGACAATCATGCATTCCTCACAACAAAGTACTAACATCTTACTAAGAAAGTTTCCTTTCAGTTTTTGGAAATGTTACTAATTTAAATAGAAGTCACCTGGCAAGCACCTCACCTACTTTCTTGTCTCACAGTCTTCACCTGAAGAACATTAGACAGCATGCTTCAACGTAGCAACATATTCAGCACCCCCCACCTCACCCCCCATTTTATTGTATCTGGAAGCTCATAAAGGCATTCCTGCTACATCATTAGCTGGGTTTCACAATTTTGTCAGGAACTGAAAGTTATGCAGACTTATATCTGTCCTCGTTTTCAAGAAAAACCAGCCAACAATGGCAACGCCTTATAGCTATGAAGTGGTCTGCAAGTGGGTTGCAAATGCAGACTGAACAAAACCATTCTACTTGTATGTAATAAGTGCTGAATTGCTTTATTTTACATAATTTTTCCCTGTTACTCAATCTCTGTCCATTGGATCAAACGCTTGATCAAATCTGACAGCATATATCCAGGATGTCTACAAAAGTATCATGAGAAACCTTGTGTAGGAAGAGGAGAACCCAGTACATGGGTCAGGATTTGCTTTCGTGCTGGGCCAGTTCCAAAATATGTTTCTAATTGAAAACCAAGAACTGCCATTTCATCACTGACAAGGATCTTGAAAGAAGAGTTTATGATCTAAGAATGAATAAAATGAACATAGATTTCGTTTCAAGCCGCAATGTTCTCCAAAAGAGACAGGAAGCATAGTTCCAGTTAAGGGAGCTGCTGGGTTTGGCCGAGGTTGTATATAAATGGGCAATTGATGCTCAAGAAGGTACTAGAATTCCTGTGGGGAATTTGGTATGGCTTTCCATGAAGCGTTCACTCTCCCTTCATCCATCCAGATGGCCTTCGATGCGCAATTGCTTGCTTCTATGAAAATACAACTGATGTTACATCACTCTATCCATGTATGGGTGGAGGCCCCTTGCATTGCTCAACTCCCACCTTACCCCCAGTTCTGGTGGATTGGGAAGAGCAATATAAAGTGGAGTATATCCTAGGTTTTAGATGCAGGAGGTTAGACAGAGATTGTGGAAAGCAGTGGCAGATGTACACCTACCCAAAGTGTTTGTCAGTTGCATTTGAAATTTGTGTGGAAGCTTTGTGCCCCTGAACTGCCATCTGCCACGCCAGACTTTCAGCAACAGGAAGAAGGTCCTTCTCCCCCCTGCCTCACAACTTGCTGCTTAAATAAGCCTGGGGAGTGTCAGCCACATTTCAACTTTGATGGTGTCTTTCATTTCAAACTTGTCTTTGTGGAGATACCTGGCCCATCTTTGCTAGGGGAGTAGGGGACATCACAGTTTGTGCTTTTAATGGTGTGGGGGGGGAGCAAGGCTGGAGGAAAGATAATGTGATATAATGTCTATACCTTGGGAATAATTTGATTTTATTGAGAACTGCCCAGAGTTGTCTGAAAGATGGGTGGCTACATAAATATTTTAAATAAATAAAAACATGCAGGGCAGGGCAAAATATTACCATATTGGAGGGATTTGGATCCTTTACAGAGTAGATTCTAGTTCGGAGGGGGGGGTGTCAGATAAAGAGAACAATCCTGCCTTAGTTGCCCCAGATATAATTGGAGCTGGACAACTGCTTTGACAGGCTTTCAAAATTCTGTTACATGACCCTACTAGCATTAAAGTTCTTTCCAGAAATCCAAGTGATTGTTGTTCCTTGAGTTTGCCATCCTTGGGTTTGACAGCATCACTCTCACTCACAAATGCATTTATCTCTGCCTGCATCCAGACTCCTGACAGCTTTCTGGCCACAAATCAGTAGGGCATTATAATCTATAGGTAGCAGAGCTAACAGCACTGAGATCCCTATTGACTTCCTCAATACCCACAGGCTCAAACCAATCTCAGATAATTCCTCAAGATGAAGGCTCTGTCATCTCAACTTGATTTGCCCAGCTGGCATTCAATCCCAAGCAAATGTATACCATTTTACCCTGCAGAGGGTTTGGTAAATTCATCATTATGGTCCAGCAGACAATTGCCCTGCTCAGTGTTTAGTAACACAGGCCAAGTCACTTTAAACAATGCTGCTGAGTAATACTTTCCTTTTCTTCAAGAATTTCTGTTGCCTTTCGGATCAGTTTCAACCAGTGCAACTTGCTAAAGATTCCCAGTTTCTAAAGGAAACAATTCCCTGGAGTTGAGCTTAATACTTGGTAGCTGAATATAGACATCCACCTTGATTTCTTGGACATATATGTACCTCTTTCAACAATACAGAAGTGCTGCTGCTTTTTCCCAGGATGATTCTCAGTTTCTAGTTAGTCTAGATCCCTGGGATTTCTTTATAGTCTCCAATCTAAAGGCAGATCATATATGAACCTATTTGTTTTTTTCAAGGCAAGGCAAGGTGCAGTTACCTGCTATGAGTGTTGATTCACATGTTTTACAGATTAAATATAAAACAATGATAAAGAAGAATTTGTATTTCCAGGCTTAATCATTCAAAGGGATGGCAATTGTAGTTATGAAAGAAAAAGAAGTCTACTACTTGGAAGAAAGGCTAAGACTGGTCTAGTCAAAATATTAAGTACAGACACATTACATTGGCCACAAAGGTACATCTGTCAGGGCTTGTAATTTTACACATGGCTTGTAACCCACTTGTG